CCGCCGCTTAGGCGCTTCCCGTCTCTCAGGCCGCTGACGCGCCCGCGCTCGACGAGGAGCTTGCCACCGCCCTCAGCGGCTTCGAGCATCCAGCCCTTGTCTCCACAGCCGATTGCGCGGCCTGGTCCCAGGGCGGCCGTGCGGCGTGGATGGCCTTCGCGAGGGCGCAGCAGGGCCTCCGCGACCATCCCGCCCGCGGGCATTCCTTCCGGGTGCCCGGCGACTTCACCGATGGAGCGCTGCGCAATTTTCTTTTCGACGCGCGGGCGGAGCTCGGGCGCCCCGAACTCGGTCAGCGGGGCATCCCCCTCGACTGGGAGGCGGCGTCCGACGTCGATCTCCTAGAGCAGCGGCGAGTTTTCCTTTCCAACAGCTCCGTTAGTGATGCGGACCTCCCTGGCGGCGGCGAACGCGACCTCCCAGGCAGCGGCCGCGGCGTGGCGAGTGCCCCCGCGGCCCAGCCCGACACCGAAGTGCCCCCGCCGGCCTCGCCTCCCCGGCCCCGGCCAGGCAAACGCATTGTCACAACCCTGCGCAGGGGGCGGGCCCGCGGGGCAGCCCCTCCAGACCCCCCTGCGGGCTCTGGCTCAGCGCAGCGCTCCTCTGGGACTGTGGGAAAGCCTGGGCCCGGTCCTCCCAGCGATCCCGCGCGCGGAGCCGTCGACCGCACTGCGGACAGAGTGCGCTCCAAATGGCCATCTACGACTACGGGAAGCTCGAGCTTGCCGCGCGACTTGCCGGGCCCAGCAGGCTCGGCAGTCAGGCCGCGGACTGGAACCTGTTTGCACCAATGTTCCACCGAGCCTTCTCCGCCTGCGTGATCGTGTAGCACTTCATCGACCGCGGTCTCCCGCTTCTTGAGGCCGACGGCCTCCCAGGAGCTTGGAGAGGCTGGGGGCCCAGCGTCCTCTCCATCAGCGCTGCCCCGCAGGCCCGAGACTTCAGGGGCCTCGCTGGAGGCCGACCTCCGCCGTCGCTCCCGAGCAGCCCGCGGTCAGGCTTTGGGCTCCTGGCTGCAAGGGAGGCAGGGGCCGTGCCCTGCCTGCCCGCCACGCCGTCGTGGCGCTTCCGTCTTCGCGACACCTTGGGCCGGGAGGCTGAGGCCCACGTCGGCCACCGGGGGGCTGGCGCGGCTCCTGCCCGCTGCTTCCCCGGCTTCTTGCAGCGCATCACCGACGCCCAGCGGCCTCTTCGGGTCCCCAGCGGTGTCCAGCTTCCTCCTTCCCGCCCCGCGAGCAGCGAGGTGGGGTGACGAGCTGGGGCAGCCGTTTACGGCCTACCGCCGGCGTGCCGAGCAGCCCCGCAGTTGCTCCCGCGGCAGCCGATGCGCCGTGGCGCCCCATCGAAGAGCTCGGGTGGAAGATAAGAGAAATGCACCGTCAGAGCTACACGTCGTCAAACCAACGACGCCGCGGCGGGCCTCTTGGACGATGCGGCCGGCTGTTGTTCAGGGCCGCACATGCAGTGGGGGGCAATTTGTGCGCTTGTTTATGCAGCGACGGAGCGTGGTGGGACATCAGACGACTCCATGCATTCTTCTTGCGCTTTGATACAACCGAAGACCAATCTGCAATCTAGTGCAGGCGCCTGGCAGATTCGAGCCTCTGCTTCCTTCTGCGGCCAGCATCTTCCCGCGAATCGCTATCCTCGAACACCCAGCGGACGATTCGCCGGAGCATTTTCGTTTGGGTGATGTCTAGATGGTCCAGCTGCTTCTGATCAAACGCCAAATTTCCAGCCCGTATATCAGCGTAGGTGTGACTGTCGCGTTGAAGAGCTTCAAACGCAGCTTGATGTTGACGTGCCTATTCGCCAGCGAAGTTTGCAGAGAACGGAACTTCAAGCATGCACAGCAGACGCGATTGTCGATGGCAGCCTGTCCGCGTCGCCGGAGGTAGCCAGGCCGCGCCCTCCCGAAGTATTTGTGGGTTCTGTTAGCAGCCGCAAGCTCCGCAAACCCATCGGCAGTTTCGATCAGAACAGTGTCATTCTCCGTGACCGTCGTCGACAACATTTCCGCTTTCTTCACGTTGAGCTCCAGACCATAATTGCGAAGCGTTTGCGTGAGCATGTGTAGCATGTCCACAGCCCCTTCCATGCTGCTGGCGAGTAGTAACTAATCGTCTACAAAACGAATATTCGACAGACGCTCCGTGCTTCCGTCCGAACATTCAGCCAGGCCATGGCCGTCCAGTTTCGCCTTCCACTCGCGGACCGTAGCTTCCAGGGCATTGTTGAACAAGAGCGGTGATAGTACGTCTCGTTGTCTGATGCCCGAGTGATAGGAAACCAGAAATTATCACCCAAGACACCAGTTTGAGACTTGTACAGCGTTCGCAATATTTGGCACTATCCAGAGGGGAGCCCCTGCGCTTGGAGAGTGCGGAACAGTGCGGGCTGCTCAGCGTTGTCAAATGCTTTGCGCAGATCTGCGCTGACCAGCTACAGGTCTTCGTTGAACTCGAGGTTCTTGCTTTCGAGGTTTTCGGCAACAATCAGAGCGTCGGCAGTCGACTGGTCTCTTTGAAAACCAAACTGCTCTTCAGATAATGCGAATCTAGGACGCCGCGTACCCCGTGGAAGACCTCGCGAGCAATAGTCTTGTAAGAAACGCTGAGAATCGCGATCGGCTTCAATTTTTTCGGGTCTGCGGCGTCCCCGCCCTTGTGCAAAAGTTTGAAGAAGGACTCCCGCCAGTCCGCTGGAACGCAACCACTCTGCAAAATTGCGTCGGACATGTCAGACAAGTAGTGCAACATATCGTTTCCGCCAAAGAGGAACATCTCCAGCAGCGCCCTCTTTGTGTCAGCAGCTTTGCGTCGTCTCATCGATTGGACTGCCTTCGCCACCTCTTCGACAGTAGTGGCTGGTGTCTGGTCGAGCTCGTCAGGCTCGCCCGCGTCAGGCGGCGCACTGGACGTGTATATCTCCGACAGCAGGTCGCCCGCGGCAGCGCCGGTGATCAATCCGCCCGCTCCGGCGGTGCAGAGCTACGCTTGTCTCCCCTCTTACCGGCGGCATCCGCGCGCCCCGAGGATGGCTCCGCCCCCGCCAGCTCCAGATCTGGGTCCTCCCGAGGTTCCGCGTCTGAGGCCCAGTCAACCGCGAGGTGCTCTGCACCAGCGACGAGTTCTCACTCTTGTGGCTCCGCCCCCGAGCGGTGGGGCATGGGGGCGGCGGCCCCGACGGCGACTGAATGCCCGAGGGCAACGACGTCCAGCCGCTGGGCCCACCTGGCCCTGCCAACGACCCCTTCCCGCGCATCGCCCAGACTCCCAGCGCCGAGCTGCCGGAGGAGAATTTGGTGTTCGTGGCGCAAGCATGGGCGCAGCTGAGCTGCAGCCAGGCCCAGTTTTGGCGCGAGGTCCTGGGGTGCGCTCCAGGCAATGCACGGGGGCCCTGCAACGTGCAACGGCGTCTTCCCACGAGAGGGTTTCTCTCCCGCGCCAACGGGGCATGAGCCCGCGAAGGGCGCCAGCAAACCTGCCGCCCACGTGCCAGCTTCTGGGCAGCCCGACAGGTGCGTGGCGGCCAACGCGGTGCTGAGCCGGGTCAACGACATGCGCCGTGCCATGGGTGGGCAGCGCGTTTGGAGGGTTTTCTCTACCCACTTCGGGTCTCCTGGCAAGCCCTTCTTCCGAACCAACCCCGACCCTAAGCTCTTCCCGCCCGGGTTTCTCAGCGGACTCTGCGCCGCTTGGGATGCCGAAGCCTTGCGCGGCTGGCGTGGCATGGGCCCCGCCGCCAAGGAGGACATCGCCCGCGCCTACTTCCAGCGTCGTGGCCCTCACTCACGCACCCCCCAGTGGAGCGCGAAGGCTCTGGCCAGCAACGCCTCATCCATAGGGCGCGAGGCTGCAGCGGTGGGCTGCCCTCCTGCGTCCCGAGCCTGCCCGCGCGACAGCGGATCCAGCGACCTCGGTGCGTCTGAGGGCAGCCCTCCCGCTTCGAAGTCTCGCTCCGCGCTCGCTTCGCACAGGCGGCCGGTGTCCCGCGACTTTCCGCGACTGGCGGGTGCTCCCTGCCTCCACTCCGCAGGCGCGTCTCCGGACGAGCTTCGCCCACACTGCGGCTGCTGGCCCCGCCCCTGGGTGCATCGTGATGCCGCCCCGCGACAGCTGCCAGGGGCTGCCCGTCAGCCCGGCCGCCCTCGCGCGCTCACCGCAGCCTCGCTGCGTGAGAGTGCCCTCGTGCCCGGTTCCCCTTCCCCGCGGCCGCCTCCCTCGCCTCTTCCCTCCCCCCCGCATGCGGGTTAATTCGCGGTTCCCTGCCCCAGTCTCGCCCTGAAGCGCTTGTGGATTGCCTTTGCCGTGCTGCGACGTAGTAAAGTGTGCTTGTGTGTGTATGTCTGCGTGTGGATGTCTGCGTTCTTTCTTTGTCCTCCAGGGTATTTCGGTGCCCTTCACCTTGGGGCGGCCGAGCCACGCATATGATCAGATCCCACCATCGTCGTCGTCGTCGTCGTCGCTGTCGTCGTCGTCGTCGTCGTCGTCGTCGTCGTCGTCGTCGTCGTCGTCGTTAGTGCCACCGTTGTCGTAACGTCGTCGCCGTGTTTGTCGTTTTTGTCGTCTCTGTTTTTCTTCAGCGTCGCTGTCGCCGTCGCCGTCACCGTCGTCGTCGTCGTCGTCGCCGTCGTCGTTATCATCGTCGTCGTCGTCGTCCTCATCGTCTTTGTCGTCGTCGTCATCGTTGTTGGCGTCGTCGTTGTCGTTTGCCTCGTCATTGTTATCGTTGTCGCAACGTCGTCGCCGCCTCTGTCGTCTCTGTCGTCTCTGCTGCCTGCGCTGCCTCTGTCACCGCCGCCGTCACCATCGTCGTGGTCGGCGTCGTCATTGTCATCGTTGTCGTAACGTCGTCGCCGTCTCTGTCGTCTCTGTCCTCTCCGTTGCCTTCGCTGCCGCTGTCACCGTCGCCGTCACCGTCTTTGTCGGCGTCGGCGTCGTCTTCTCCCTCTTTCTTTCCCTCCTGCTCCGGCCCGGCCCCACCATTTCGCATTGAAGGTGTACAAGATCATCTCGGGCCACCCTGGCGGCGGGGAGGCTAGCCACACCCTGCAGTGGGCACGTGCGTGCCTGCGACTCGGCTGATGCGATGCGGCTTAAGGCCGTCAAATCACGTCAGCCCTCCTCTCCTCATGTCTCCTCCTTCTCCTCCCGTCTCCCCCCACTGCCTCTCGTTCTCCTCTTTCCTTGAGGCGGTGCCTCCTCCTCATACTGTTCGTCTCGTCTCTTTCATCTCTTCCGTCTGTAACTGTCCATTTTGGATCCAGCCTTCTCTGCATGGTATTCTCCTCCCCTGGCTCACTGCAGCTGATGGCGCAGGACGCAGGCCTCTGGCGGCGTGGCGTCGGCGTCTTCGGTCGGCGCACTGCTCAGGAGGAGCGTATGCTTCTATGGAGGCGGCCGTTCGTCGTGTTCAACGTTCTGCTTCCACTTGCGCCGCTTTCCACTTCTGCGTGGAAATCCATCATGGCTTTGCTGCACTCCTCTGGGCGGGATGGGTTCCCTGAGAGTGCCCGTGCTCAACGGTGTGCCGCGGGTGTGCCTTCGGGGGCTCTTGGCCGAGTTGGAGGTACCACGTCGACGTTAGTCGGCGCAACGTGGTACAGCTCTGTGATGCCGAAGGCATCGACATCGTCACTGCGAGCGTTCTACAGCTGGGAGCTGTCCAGAAGGGTCCTCGGCTGGTGGTTCTCGCCGTATTGTGCTTCGGTGCGTGCTTGAGAGCGAAATCCCTAGCATTGTCTCCTGGCCGTTCTACTCTCGGTTCCCTGGGGAATGCGGCGGTGATGTGGTTTTGCCCTCGGGCTCCCAGATGGACTCCGAGGCTGATGAGCACTTTGATCGGCGGGATGGGCCGGTCGACAATCTTGTCGCACTGCTCTTGCTTGGCACCGCAAGCGCGGCCGAGGTCAGGGCTGAGCCTGCCCTCGCTCGCCAGGGTGTTGGAAGGTGTGCGTGGCAGGGCCATGCGTGCCCTGGGCCGTCCTGCCGCGCGCCTGGGAGGTCACCGAGGAAGCGCCTGACGAGGTTGTGGGTCTGCAGGATCTTCGTCGGCGGTGCTCTGGGCTCAGCGGCTTCGACCCTGTGAGTGGCGAGGGGTTGGCGCTGGACGTGGACACGGGGAACCTGGATGGCGGCGATGGCGACTCTGAGAGCGAAGTCTCGTTCGGGACCATTCCTGATCTTTGTCATGCCAACCTGCTGCCTTGCAATCGTTTTGACTCTGGGCTACGCCAGCTTTGACTCGGGACTACGCCAGCTTCGGGTTTCCCTTGCTGGCGTCCGCGGCGGATTTTGCGCGCCTTCTCTCCTTACTGAAAAGCGCGTTCAATGCGATCTGGCGTTGCTCGGCACGGGGCCACTAAATCAATTTTGAGGAAGGAACAATGATCCACGCGTCCCTTCCTAGCCCTGGGCGGAGCCAATACTGTACTTGGTCAGGAGGGGCCGCGCATTCATATCCTGCAACATCTGCCGTAAGAGTTCAGCGACACAGCTCTTCAGGATCTACCGATGCTGATGAGGCAGTCGGGGATGTTGCTTTGCGCGCTTTCAACGAGAGCAGGGATCCCCTGATGCCAACGACCGAATGTTGTTATGCTTCGTGCTGGGGTCTCCTGGTTGCGATGCCATATTCCTCGTCCTCATCGTTTTCTTCGGCCTCCCCTTCCTCGCCGTCCTCCTCGTTGTCCTCGTCCTCCTCTCCCTCGTCCTCCGAGGACCTCTATGGTATACTTCGTCCTCGTCTTCTTCGCCGAGTTTTTTCGAGTATTGTTCCTCATATATCTTTCCCCCTTCTCGACCTCGTGCTATGCCTCGTCCTCGTCCCGCCCTCCTCTCCGACTCCTGTTCAACTCTCTCTTCAACGTCCTCCTCTTGCTCCTCCCCCCAGCATTCTCCTGGACCTTGCGATGCTGCTTTTTCTTCCCCCTTCGCTTCCTTCCCCATCATTGCTGTTCCCTCTTTTCCCTGTATACTCACATCCGTGTCCGCCCCTCTTGTTTTGCCTATTCACCATCACCTCTCAAGAGGAGTCCTGGGATGGGAGGCGAGCGTCGGGGACGGTTTGGATTGCTTTGGAGGAGTGTGTGCGAGGGAGGGATGCGATGAGACAGGGGAGGGGGGATGAGATGGGATGAGCGGGTGAGGAGAGGCGATGACAGGGACCATGAAACGGGAGAGAGAGAGAGAGTTAGTTGGTACATGTATGCGTATTTACATGTATATATATATATGTATACACATGTGTGTATCTGCTGTATATACGAGGGGGACAGATAGAGGCAGAGTTGTATTCACATGTGCGTGTATCCAGATGCTTAAACACGCATGCGTAAACACATCATCACATACACCACTGGGCACACATGCATATACATGAATGAATACACATATAGACATGCATAACAAGGGTATCGTATGCGATTTGCCCTGATAAGTCTTATGCCATGGGACGGTGCCTAGGTGCCGGGGTGCCTTCTAGCCTTCTAGCCCTATAGCCTTATAGCCTTATCGCCCTGTAGTCCTGTAGCCATATAGCCCTATAGCCCTCTAACCCTCTGGCCTTCTAGCCCTATAGCCCTATAGCCCTATAGCCCTTTAGCTGTATAGCCCTATCCAGCCCTCTAGCCTTACAGCCCTATAGCCCTATATCCCTATAGCCCGATCGCCTTACAGCCCTCTAGCCCTATAGCCCTGTAGCCCTATAGCCCTATCATCCCGTAGCCCTATAGCCCTATAGCCCTATAGCCCTAGCCAAATAGCCCCATGGTCATGATACCCCTGAAAATATGTTGATTGGGTTTTCCTCTGGTGTCATTGCCCCTACTAAATCTCATTCCATGGGACAACCATTTGTTCTATTCTACTACATGATATGAACGTGAAGGCCTTGCGGCCGGTGCCGCCGACCCATAATGACGACGACCACCACAACGACGACAACGACAACGACGAGCCGATGGCCCTGCCGCGGAAAAGGAGGAGGAGGAAGGAGGAGGCGGAGGCGGAGGCGGAGGAAGAACAGGAGGAGGAGGAGGCGGAGGAGGAGGCGGAGGAGGAGGCGGAGGAGGAGAAGGAGGCGGAGGAGGAGGAGGAGGAGGAGGAGGAGGAGGATGAGGAGGAGGAGGAGGATGAGGAGGAGGAGGAGAGAGGAGAAAGAGGAGGAGGAGCAGGAGGGGGAGAAGGGGGACCAGTGGAAACCCAAGACTCATCAACGATGTTGGAATAAACCCTCCCTCCAAGCTCCCTCTTCATAGGCCCCTAGCAGGGTTCATTTCCACAGGGGAACTGCCTCGTTGGGAGACACAGTTCGAAGACCCTGGGACTCCAACGCCACGAATCCACATGACTTTTGCGTCTTGACGGTCCTGAATCGTGCCATAATGCCATTCTTGGGACTTCAACACCGCGACTCAACGTAATTGTTGCGCCTTGACAGCCCTGACTCCTTCCCTAATGCAGTTTCTGGAACGTTGACCATGGGAATTCGTGAAGCTCATGCAGCTTTTTGCAGCACATGTGCGCAGCGCTAAGGCGAGAGCCACATTTTGAAAACGACCTGTCCTCATTCCGTGAAGCTCTTGCAACTTTTTACAACAAATGTGCGACACATTTTGAAAACGACCTGTCCTCACTCTGTGAAGCTCTTGCATACTTTAAATCGAATGTGCGCGGTGCTAAGGCGAGTGCCGCATTTTTAAAACGACGTGTCCTCAACCCGTGAAATTCCTGCAACTTTTCAAAACGAATGTGCGCGGCGCGAAGGCGGGAGCCACAGTTTGAAAACGACCCGCCCTCAATCCGTGAGACTCTTGCACATTTCTAAAGCGAATGTGCGTGGCGCTGAAGCGAGAGCCACATTCCCGCCCTCCATCTGTGAAGCTGTTACCACTTCTCAAGCTTCAGGGTCATAAGCGGTGAGAGACTCTCTGGCGCAACGCCCGGCTCGCCCTTTCGACCAGCCTCGCGGTGCGACAGGGAGAAGCTATTTGGGTCCCGAGCCGAGGTCAGGGCTAGGGCCAGGGCCGAGGCCGGGGCTGGGGCCAGGGCTCGGCCTGGGGCCGGGGCTGGTGTCTGGGCCGGGGCCGGGGGCCAGTCTCCTGGTCCGGGGACTGGGCCCTGGCCGGGACCCGGCAGGTCCACCGAAGGCCACAGCGGCACGGTCCGCATGGCGTGCTCGCGCTCGCGCCCGATTCGGTTGACCCCACCGAAGGCGCCAGCGGCAGGGCCCGCATGGCGTACCCGCACACGATTCTGCAAACCCCTCAAACGTCTCGTGGCCCCACAGGGAGCTCCACCGAAGGTCCCAGCGGCAGGGTCCGCATGCCGTATACCCGCGTACGATTCGGCACACCAGCCGTTTTGTGGCCTCATAAAAGGGTTCCTCGGAAGGCCCCAGCGGCAGTGTCTGCATGGCGCACCGGCACCCGATTCAGCACACACTCCACACGTTTCGTGACTCATAGGGAGCTCCACCGAAGGCCCCAGCGGCACGACCCGCATGGCGTACCAGCGTCCGATTCGGCGCACCACTCACACGTTTCGTGGCCCCATAGGGAGTTCCGCCGAAGGCCACAGCGGCAGGGTCCGCATGGCCTACCCGCACCCTATTCGGCATATTCCTCACACCTTTCGTGGCCCCACAGGGAGCTCCACCGAAGGCCACAGCGGCAGGGTCCGCACTTCTACCCGCACCCGATTCCGCACACCCCTCTCACGTTTGGTGACCCCATACGTACGGGGGTTCCTCGGAAGGCCCCAGCGGCAGGGTCGCATGGCGTGCCCGCGCCCGATTCGGACACCCCCCTCAGACGTTTCGTGGCGCCGAAGATCCAGCAGCACGGTCCGCATGGCGCACCCGCGCCCGATTCGACTCTTCGCACGTTTCGTGGCCCCATAGACAAATCCACCGAAGACCCCAGCGGCGGCGTCCGCATGGCGTACCCATACCCGTTTCGGCACACCCCTCCTCGCGTTTCGTGGCCCCACAGGTGGCTCCTCGGAAGGGCTCAGCCGAAGGGTCCGCATGGCGTAGCCGCACCTGGCTCGGCACACCCCCTCACAAGCTTTGTAGTTCCACAGGTAGCTCCAGGGTCCAACTGCCGCACCCGCGCCCGCTTCGGCGCTCCTCTCGCACGTCCTGTGGCCCCACGGGGAGCTCCACCGAGTGCCTCAGCGGCAGAACCCGCATATGGCGTACCTGAACGGCGTACCCGCGCCCGACTCGGCACACCCGTCTGACGTTTCGTGGCTTCATGAGGACCTCCTCGGAAAGGCCCCAGCGGCAGGTTCTGCGTGGCGTGCCCACACCCGATTCGGCGCACCCCTCGCACGCTTTGTGGCCCCACAGGAAGCTCCACCGAAGGCCCCAGCGGCACAGTCCGCATGGCGTACCCGCGCCCGATTCGGCGCACCCCTTTTTCGTTTCGTGGCCCAATGGGGAGCTCCACCGAAAGCCCCAGCGGCACAGTCCGCATGGCGTACCCGCGCCCCATTTCGGCGCACCACTTACACGTTTCGTGGCCCCCATAGGGAGCTCCACCGATAGCCCCAGCGGCACAGTCCGCATGGCGCACCCGCCCGCGCCCGATTCGGCGCCCCTCTCACGTTTCGTGGCACCGTACGCGGCTCTTCGGAAGTCTCCAGTGGCAAGGTCTGCATGGCGTACCCGCTCTTGGTTCGGCACGCCCATCATACATTCTGTGGTCGCTTTCGATTCGGCACGCCCACTCACACGTTTTGAAGTCCCATGGGGAGGTCCACCAAAGGCCCCAGCGGAAGGGTTCGCATGGCGTACCCGCATCTGGTTCGGCACACCCTTTTCAGTTCCGTGTCCCGATAAGCTCCTCGGAAGGCCCCAGCGGAAGGGTCAGCATGGCGTACCCGCATCTGGTTCGGCACACCCCTCACAAGTTTCGGTGTCTCATGTGGATCTCCACCGAAGGTCCCAGCGGCACGGTCAGCATGGCGTACCCGCACCCGATTTGGCACACCCTTGGCACGTTTCGTGGCCCCGGAGGGAGCTCCACCGGACGCCGGAGCAGCAGGGTCCGCATGGCGTACCCGCACCCGATTCGGCACACCTTTCACATGTTTCGTGTCGCCGTAGGGAGCTCCACCGAAGGCCACAGCGGCAGTGTTCGCATGGCGTGCCCACACCCGATGCGGCACACCTCTCACACGTTCGATGGCCCCACGGGGAGCTCCACCGAAGGCCCCAGCGGCAAGGTCCGCATGGCGTACCCGCACCCGGTCCGGCACACCTCTCACACGCATTGTAGTCCCATGGGGAGGTCCACCGAAGGCCCCAGCAGCAAGGTCCGCATGACGTGCCTCCCCGCGCCCGATTCGGCGCACCTCTTACACGTTTCGTGGTCCTATAGGGAGCTCCACCGAAGGCACCAGCAGCAGGGTCCGCATGGTGCACCCGCACCCGATTCGGTACACCCCTTTCACTTTCGTGGCCCCACGGGGAGCTCCACCGAAGGCCACAGCAACAGGGTCTGCATGGCGTACCCGCGCCCGATTCGGCACACATCTCACACGTTTTCGTGGCCCCGGAGGGAGCTCCACCGAAGGCACCGGTGACAGGGTCCACATGGTGTATCGGCACGCTCTGACGGAGTTCGAGCGACGCGCGCGGGTCGTCCGCGGCGCGGAGTCAGAAACATCGGGTGGCTGACGAGGGGCGAGGCGCCAGGCAGAGCGCGCGGGTGTCGGGCAGAACTAGGAGGCAGAGCGCAGGGGAGTCCCTGCGACGCGCGTTGGTCGCCCCGAGAGGATTCCAGCGACGCGCGCGGTGCGAGGCCATACAGTTGGGCAGTCCAGAGAAGGCGAGACTCGGGCGAGCCGTTCCTCAGGTCAGGGCTCGCGGATGAACCCGGTGAATGTCCCAGTTTCTTGGTGAGGCCGTCGCCAAACGAAGAATATGTTTGGCTCGCCCATGTCCGATCTTTCCAGTACCCGCGTTCCAATCCCTTGCCAGACCCCCTCCTCCCTTTTACCTGCCGCGCGATGCTCGCAGGTGCATCTGGTTGGGTCCTCCCCAGGGTTTCTGTCCTTGCAGCGGATTGCGTTGTTTTCGCTTCACTTGCACTGCCGCTGTTGCAACATTTTACATTGCACTGTCACTGCGCTACGTTGCAGTACATTCCACGAAGTGGCTTGCAGTAGTTCGCGTTCATGTCTACCCTCGTCGGTCGTGCGTCTTTGCTCGGTCAGCGTTTTGCTATTCTGCCACTCCTCTTCTATCTGTGGGTGCGCACATGCATTTATGCTGATGCAAGCTTGTCACTCGCTGAAGTTTGATGGAATTTTCGCGCGCCCAAAGCGCGAACGTGCGTCGGACATCTCTATGCACACCTGAATACAAGTATGGGGTAAATCGCAGGGGCAGTATCAGTGTTGCGTATTTGTTTGCGCTATTCAACCGTGCGTTGTGCATGTTCAGTGAACTATATACGTGCAGCTGCAAACTCACGATCATGTTGCAACGTATTTGTAAGAATGGGCGCATTTTGCACGGTGATTTACTTTTATATGATGTGGTGTAACAGCGGGTATGGTGGTGAGGGTTTCGACGCGAAGGGGTAGGCATCCCCGAAGTGCATTGGTACGGTGTAGAGGGGGACTACAATGTGATGGTCCTCGACCTATTGGGTCCATCACTCGAGGAGTCCGTGCGTGCGTCCTGTCGGTCCTGGTTGTTTGCATGCTGTTCTTGCGCTACCCAGCTATCCTCCTCGTCCTTCCTCCCGCTCGTCTCTCGTCCCTGGTTGTTCCTCCCTCCTCTCCCCCTTGTCCCATCCCTCTTTTCATATCCCGGGTCTCTCGACCCTCGGTCGTTGTTTTTCTTTCTTTGTCCGTCGTTCCTCCTGTTCTCTTCCTGCCCTCGTCCCTTGTCCCTTGCACCTCCTGTTCCCGACTTCCTCGTTCTTTGTCTCCTGTCGCCCCGTCCATCGTTCCTCCCTCCTCTCCTCTCATGTCCTCTTTTCTTGTTTCTTTTCTCCTTCCTCGCTGCTCCATCCTCCCCCCCTTCTCCATCCACACTCCCACTCCTGCTTCATATGTCCTCTCTCATCTGTTATCACTCCCCAGTGTACCCTCCTTGCACCCCTGAAATTACGTATTGCGAAGACCCTTCGCAGGTAATTTAGCAGCTCCAGGTAGTACATGCGATCAGTTGTTCTAAGTGGCTTTCCAGCACCTAGGTCACACCCGCGAGTGAATTCACTCAATCGCCGAAGGGATTTGCGAAGGCAGTCCCGGGGTGCGGTCAGGTGCCGACAGTTGGGACGAGTCGGGCGCTCGGGGCCAGATTCCGTTGCCAGGCGTTCCAGGCCCGGATGGTTTGGGAAGGGCAGCGTCGTTTCCCACGGAGGAGAGCGAGATGAGGATGAGGAGGAGGGGGGGCGGTGAGGGGGAGGAGGGGGAGGATGACGAGGACGAGGAGGGGCCGATAAGTGTCAGTGCCTCTTTTGTCAGGGGCCAGTAGGTGTCATCGTCGCGGGGGCAAGCGCAGACGAGCGCCCTGCTGCTTTGCTGTGTTGGCCCCACTCCTCTAGGGTGCAGGGAGCGTAGACCTTCCGGACGCAGCGACACAATCATAGGTTCCCGCCCGATAGCTGGGGGTCGTCGGGATTTATCCAGCTGCCTGCGGCAAGTGCCAGCCCAGCATTCTGGGTGGCGACTCTTCGAGGGGGCACGGAAGGACACTTCGTGCCCCCAGGCTTGGGGGAGCCGTGACAATTCCGATGATGCTGATGTTGCTGCTGATGATGATCTGATATGGTGATGCTGATGATGCTGATGATGCTGATGATGATGATCAAGTTGTTGTTGTTGTTGTTGTTGTTGTTGTTGTTGTTGTTGTTGTTGTTGTTGTTGTTGTTGTTTTGTTGTTGTTGTTGTTGTCGTCGTCGTCGTCGTCGTCGTCGTCGTCGTCGTTGTTGTTGTTGTTGTTGTTGTTGTTGTTGTTGTTATTGTTGTTGTTGTTGTCGCTGTTATTGTTGTTGTTGTTGTCGCTGTTCTTGTTGTTGTTGTTGTTGTTGTTGTTGTTGTCGTTGTTATTGTTGTTGTTGTTGCTGCTTGTGGTGGTGCTGCTGCTGTTGTTGTTGTTGTTGTTGTTGTTGTTGTTGTTGTTGTTGTTGTTGTTGTTGGTGTTGCTGTTGGTGTTGTTGTTGTTGCTGCTGCTACTCTTGTTGTTGTTGTTGTTGTTGTTGTTGTTGTTGTTGTTGTTGAACTCTCATTCTTGAAGAATAATTATTGTTGATCCCCCCCCACCGGTGCACATTGATTTTTTTCGATTGAAGTGCCACCCCCGGGGCTCGCACCTTGTTTTTTCTCAAGGAAAGTCTTCCTGCTCAAACTGTGCCCCTGCCCCCCGGGCTACAACAACAACGGCTCCCGCCTGAGACTTCCTCGATTTTTACTCAGGACCCCCGCTCCCGCCTGAGACTTCCGCGCAATTTACTCAGGAAAGGCGCTCCCGTCTGAGACTTCCTCGCAATGTAATCAAGACCCCCGCTCCCGCCTGAGACTTCCGTGCAATTTACGTGGGAACGGCGCTCCCGCCTGAGACTTCTTCGAATTTTACTCAGGACCCCCGCTCCTGCCTGACATTTCCGCGCAATTGACTCAGGAACGGCGCTCCCGCCTGAGACTTCCTCGCAATTTAGTGAGGACCCCCGCTCCCGCCTGAGACTTCCGTGCAATTTGCTCAGGAACGGCGCTCCCGCTTGAGACTTCCTCGCAACTTAGTCAGGGCCCCCGCTTCCGCCTGAGATTTCCGCACAATGTACTCAGGACTACGCTCTCGCGTGCGACGTCCTCACAAATTATTCTGGAATTGCATTTCGGCGCTCAGGAACCACGCACGCGCCAAGGACGCCTTCACAACGTGGTATCTTCCCTCTTCCTTCGTCCTTCCCCCTCCCCTTCCTCCCACTCTCCCTCGTTCTTCCCCTCCTCCTCTTGCAGGGCCCGCGCCAATTCCAATGGCGGGCAGAGAGATGTACGCCCCCGAAGGATTGTCCGCCCGTTCCGGTTTGCCCGTACGTCTAAGCCCGCCGGCCCCAGCAAAGAGAAATAATCCCCCCGAAAGGGGTGTGATCGAAGACGAAGAGGGCGGGTATCGAGGGTGTAGGGTATACGTGTTGAATGACTCGCGGGCAAGTAAGAACGTACAGCCTTAAAATGGTTGTTGTTGTTGTTGTTGTTGTTGTTGTTGTTGTTGTTGTTGTTGTTGAATACGCATTCCTAGATCATAATTCATGTTGATATCCGGAAACGGTTCCGCGCGCTCTCGCCTCGATGTCGGCTACATTTTCTTTGAAAACGAGGCTCCCGCGCGAGCGTTGGCTTGAGTCTACATGTGGGCCCCTGGAGGCCCAGGTACGACGACAACGGCTCCCGTTCGATACTTCCTCACAATTTACCCCGAGACACCCTGGCCAGAGAGGCCCCCGAACTCAGGAGCGGCGCTCTCGCTCGAGACTTCCGCGCACTTCAGTCAGTGGCCGACAAGGAAGATATTCCCCCCGAAAGGAGGTGCAATCGAAGACGACGTGAGCGGGAATCGAGGGTTGGGGTATACAGAATGCAAGACACGCGTGCCAGTAAGGGCGAACAGTCTCAAACTGATTGTGGAACTCTCATTTCTGAAGAATAGTTATTGTTGATCCCCCCCGCCCGGTACACATCTTATTTTTTCGATTGAAGTGCCCCTCCCGGGGCTCGCACCCGATTTTTTATAAGGGAAAGAGCGTGTTCTACCGCTGCTGGCGGAAAACCGGGGGGGGTCACTACCGGTTCGAACCCCTCCCCCCCCCCTCCGGAAAACCGGGGGGGGTCACTACCGGTTCGAACCCCTCCTCCCCCCCCCCAGTTCATCATGAAAAGGGGGGGGGGGGTCACTACCGGTTCAACCCCCCCCCCGTCGAAAACCGAGTGGGGGTGCGGACAGTGGTGGGGACGGTGTTGGTGCGGACAGTGGTGAGGGGACAGCGGGACAGTGGTGGGGACAGTGGGACAGTGGGACAGTAGAGGGCCGGTAATGGTGGGGACAGTGGTGGGGGCAATGGTGGGAACAGGGGGGACAGTGGACAGTGGTGGGGACGGTGGTGGTGGGGACAGTGGTGTGGGCACAGTAGGAATGAGGTGGAAACGGTGGGACAGTGGAGGGTACAATGGTGGTGGGGACAGTGGGACAGAGGTACAGAGGGGACAGTGGTGGGGACAGTGGGGACAGTGGTGGGAACAGTGGGACAGCTCAGTGGGACAGCGGCGGAGTCAGTGGGACAGTGGGGACAGTGGGGATAGTCGGGCAGTGGTTGGGGCCGTGGAGACAGTGGGGAGAGTGGAACCGTGGTGGGAACAGTGGTGGGGACAGTGGGGACAGTGCGACAGTGGTGGGGGCACTGGTGGGGACACAGTGGGGACAGTGGTGGTGAGGACAGTGGTGCTGGGAACAACAGTGGGGGATGTGATGCGGACGGTGGTAGGGACCGGGAGTCGTTTGCTGGCGGTGAGTGGGGGGGTGGGGAGGGGTTCGAACCGGTAGTGATCCCCCTCCGGTTTTCGAGGGGGGGGGGGGGTTCGAACCGGTAGTGACCCCCCCCGGTTTTCCGGATCCGGAGGGGGGGGGGGGGGTTCGAACCGGTAGTGACCCCCCCCGGCTTTCGAGGGGGAGGGGGGGGGGAGGGGTTAGGGAAGGGGGGAGGGGGGGGGGGGGTCCAGCGGGGGGGGGGGATTTTCGGAGGGGGGGGGGCGACCCCCGGGCTCCGGAGGAAAAGGTGGGCAATTTTCCGCAATAAAGCGGCGGTGGATCACGCTCTCTCTCTCTCTCTCTCTCTCTCTTTCTCTCTCTCCTATCAGGGAAAATCTTGAGGGTCAAACTGTTTAAAAGAACAACAGCGGTTCCCTCTTGATAATTCTTCACAATTTCCTGATGAACCGCGCTCTCGCTTGGGACCTCCTGGCAATTCACCACAGAATCGCGGCTCCCGCCTGATACTTCCTGACAATGTATTGCAGAATCGCGTTCTCGCTTGGGACTTCCTCGCAACTTACCACCGAACCACTTCGCTTGATATATATTTTTGCAGTTTCTGCCGATCCTCGGCACTCTGGAATCGCGCTCCCGCTACATATTGCCTGGCGGTTCAAGCAGGACTCACGCTTCAACGACCCGCCCGCTCGACCCGCCCGTCGGGGCCTGCCCGCCCGACCAGCCCGTTAATGACTGCAGTCGCCGCTCGCTGCCCTTCGCCCGCCTTCGATGCCCCTCGCTGCCCGTACTGGTTCCGCGGTCGTCTTCGCTCACTGTCCTTCGTGGCCCCGTTGCTGCCCTCAGTGGCCCCGTCGCTGCATTTTGTGGCCTCGCATTATGTGCCCTTCGTGGCCATCGCTCGCAAGCGCCCGTCGTGGCCCCATACGCATGCCCTTCGTAGCCCCGCTGTCGCCCTTCGTGGCCCCTTCGCTGCCCTTCGTGGTCCCTTTGCTGCCCTCAGTGGCCCCGCTGTCGCCCTTTGTGGTCCCGTATACGAATGCCCTTCGTGGCCCCCGTTCGCTCGCGCCCATCGTGGCCCCATATGCATGCCCTTCGTGGCCCCGCTGTCGCCCTTTGTGCCCCCCTCGCTGACCTTCGTGGCCCTGGTGCTGCCCTCAGCGGCCCCGTCGCTGCCCTCTGTGGCCTCGGATTTTATGCCCTTCGTGGCCCACGCTGGCCTCTCTCACGATTTACTTGGGAATCGCGCTATCGCTCGAGATTTCCTCGCGATTCATGCAGGACCCACGCTTCAGCAACCCGCCTGCTCGACCTCGTCGCCTGGACCCGCCTTTCCTGCTAATTTCTCCCGTTCTCTATTCTTCTCCCTCCCCCTTCCACCCGTCTTCCCTTGTTTCTGTGGTTGCGCCAAGTACACGTGGCAGGTAAGGAAGATGTACCCCAAGGGGGTACGATAGAAGACGACGAGGGCGGGTGCCGAGGGTGTGGGATATACAAATTGATTGGCACGTGACTAGACAGGAACGAACCGTCTTTACATGATGGTTGTTGTTGGTAATGTTGTTGTTGTTGTTGTTGTTGTTGTTGTTGTTGTTGTTGTTGTTAGTTCTTGGTGATGATGATGATTTCGCTGATGATGATGATGTTGCTGCTGATGCTGAAGTTGATGAACATGACACCTCTGCTGACGATGATGATGCTGTTGCTGATGCTGATGATGCTGCTGCTGATGATGATGACGTTGATGATGATTCTGATGTTTGTGATGATGCTGATGATGTTGATGATGTTGATGTTGCTGCTGCTGATGATGATGATGTTGATGCTGATACTGCTGCTCATGATGATGCTCGGGGTGGTGGAGGTAATCATCATGATGATGCTGATACTGTTGATGCTGATGATGATGGTGACGATGATTCTGATGCTGATGATGATGACGTTGATTCTGCTGTTGTTGATGATGATGATGGTGGTGGTGGTGAGGAGGAGGAAGATGATGAAGACGAGGATGATGCTGATGACGATGATGATGATGGTGATGGTGATGATGACGCTGATGATGCTGATGATGATGATGCTGTTGATAATGACGATGCTGATGGCGCTGATGATGGTGATGATGATTACGATGATGATGACTGTGATGATTATGCAGATGCTGCTGCTGATGATGATGAAATGATGATGACAATGGTGATAACGATGATGAGGCGGATGCTGATGATGATGCTGATGATGCTGATGATGCTGATGATTTTGATGATGATGATGCTGATGATGATGATGATGATGATGATGGTGATGTTGATGATGATGATGATGGTGGTGGTGGTGACGATGATGATTGATTATTGATGATGATGCTGCTGATTATGATGATGACTATGATGATGATGATGATGATGATGATGATGATGATGATGATGATGATGTTGCTGATGATGATGATGATGATGATGATGATGGGGATTCTGCTGCTGCTGCTGATGACGATGATGAGGATGATGATGATGCTGATGATGCTGATGATGATGATGCTGATGATGATGATGATGATGATGATGATGATGCTGATGATGATGATGATGATGATGATGATGATGATGATGATGATGATGATGATGATGATGATGATGATGATGATGATGATGTGAAGGAGGAGGAGGAGGAGGAGGAGGAGGAGGAGGAGGAGGAGGAGGAGGAGGAGGAGGAGGAGAAGGAGAAGGAGGATGAGGAGTAGAAGGCGCAGGAAGAGCAGGAGGAAGAGGAGGAAGTTGAAGGCCGTCACATGTGGCACCTTTCGTTTTCACTAGTTGAGGAGCCCTCATGGAACTCGTTTTTGCAGTCGTGGGGCTGTGTAGTAGGCCTCCTGTGAGGCAGTCTTTGGGGCCCCTGGGGTCTTCTTGTGCCGTTTGGGGACCCTCTTGAGCCCCTCTTGCCGTCTTGGGGCCCTCTTGGGCAGTCTTGGGTGCCTCTCGGGCCGTCTTGGAGCCCTCTTGGGCCGTCTTGGTGCCCGCTCGGGGGCCTCTTCGGCTGTCTTGGGGTTCCGTTGGGGGCCTCTTTGGCCGTCTTGGGACGTCGGAAGCTCGAAAAGGCGAGAACACCGAAACCAATGAGCACCCGTAGGACAGTCACTGGTTTTTACCCTTCGCGGCCCTCTTGGGAAGGCTATTGGGGCTTTCTTGGGACGTCTCGCAGGCCTCCTGGGCCGTCTTGAGACCGTCTTTGGCCGTCTTGAGGTCACAGCGGGCCGTCTTGGAGCCATCTTGGGCCGTCTTTGAGGCACCTGGGCTTCGGGAGCGTACGTTCCTTGGTTGTTCTTACGGAGGGTGGTGGCCTCGGAAGTGAAGCTGTCGGGAGGGGGCGATGCATGCAGGCCAGTGTGGGTCGAGGGGTGGGGGCTGGGGTGGGGGCCCAGAAGATTACAGACGCCCTACCAGGCAGCCCTTGGCATTCTAGCTTGCCCCAACGTGTCAGGGGGGCACGCTGGCGGGCAACAGTTTCCGGCCTGTCTCGCCAGCCCGACACACGGCGGCCGGCATGCCTCAAGTGTCTCGGTGCTCCCTGGATCTCCCGACTCGCGCCCTCGTCGGATGACGACACAATGATCAGCCATACAGAAAGAATACCAATCACGAACAGCGCAGATCAACACCACATACACATGTCGTGTATGTGCGGCAATGGGACATTCATGCAACAACGTTGCCATGTTCAACGCCATGTATTTACACGATATTTACATGCTGACGTTTTCGCAACGCAAGAATGAGGCTCACACAAACCATGATCACAACCCATTGCGCCACGTTCACAGGTTTGATAACGCAGAAGCACCACCGTGCATACACACCATACTCAGATGAACACATGTTCATCTTCATACGCGACATTTTCATATTCACCTTGCCCGCACAACATGTACACATTTCCATTGTTTACAGTACTTCTGAGCTAGACAGCATACATGTCAGGGGCACACGTCGGCAACGTGTGACTTACACTGTCGCAGCAACGGCCAGACGTAACACGACAGGCGTCATGACAGGATGCAGTCGTGGAGGCATCCCACGACTTGTCAGACATGGCAAGGATCACGACGTCATGGACTGACGTCAGCTTGACGATAACCAAACGCGACAACGACCTTCTCAGGACCAATTGACGCCACGGCAGAGTAATTAATACACGTTTGAGCAGTATGATAGGACAGCAGGGGCGGCAGAAGGTAGCACTTCATAATCGAGACGGTTTGGCAATACACAAGAACGCCGCACATACGCAAGACACGCATGCATATTGCCAGCAAACTTAAAGACAGGCAGTGCGATACCATGTAGTATCATTTTTCCCATGACGAGCCAGACACGGCAGGCAGGCGCCATGACGTCAAGCTGGTCCGACAAACACCGAACGCATCAACGACCATGGCGAAAGCGACAGACAGCCTGATGAGACAAAGTCGTTGAGGCTTTCTGCGACCAATCAGATAGGACAGGCGTCACGACGCAACGCCGACCAGAGACGAAACAACTCGATAAGCAGCATACCAACACAGCTCGTTACACGGTTTAGCAGGCATGAGCCGGCGGCGAGCCAGGGGGGGAAGTACTTCCGCCTTCTGCGAGGTTTTCTACGCCTTCCTCGAGGACACAGACAATTTCTCAGAAGTCTTGAGGGCTTCTGAGAAGCCCCGCCGCCTTCTGAGAAGGCCTGCTCCTTCGCACTTCCCCCCCGCGCGCGCCGCCGAATGAGAGGCGTAACGACGTCAAACTGGCCCGGCGTACGGCCGAGCGCAGCAACGATCTGTTTGAGATGGTTGACGCCAGGGCCGACAGCACCAGAGCTCGGCGGCGCGCACGCCTGGGGTGGTGCGAGGGTGGGGCGACCGTCCAAACCGTCCAAGACGGCGGGTTGCTACTGAGACCACGACAGGCCCAAACGGAGGGAGTGACACTGCCGAGGCGGACGAAACCGACTTGCTTGCCATGGGAGCCAGCGGATGGTGCAAGATGGCATCGACGTGCTGCATGTGGTTCGCCACCCGGCAATGTTGGTGTTGGCCGCTGGCTCGGCCTGCTGGCTCGGCAGGCTGTTCGCTTCGGCAGACGCCCAGGCGGCGCGTCGGCTGCGTCGCGGCTGCCAGTCCGCAAGACGCCTCCTGGAGCAAAGCGACGCCCCCAGGAGGAGGAGGAGGAGAAGGAGGAGGAGGAGGAGGAACCCGAGGGAGAAGAGCAAGGGGAGGAGGGAAGAGGAGGACAAGGTAGGAGCGGGAAAGAGGAGCCGATCGGGCCAAGATCTTCATCAGCCCACATCCTCTTTCTTCCACCGCCATGCCCTCTGCCTCCACTGCCGCCTTTTTGCGCGCGTCGGTTCAGAGGGCGTCAGCTCCGTGGGTAAATCCGGAGCCTGGGGTGGGGATCGCACGACGTGTTTTTTTATTGTGATTTTGGATCCTAAACGTTTTTGTTGGGGCTGCGTTTGTGTTATCCCCTGGCCGCCAGACGGCCAAAGCCACCATGGTTGCGCGGGTCACTCTCGGTACCAGCAGTTGTGCGATCGGAGCTCCGATCTCGAGAGGACCTCTTCAATTTCTGCGGCCGGAAGTTTAGCTTGAAGACTGTTCTGATGCTCGCGGACACGCCCCCTTGCATCGCCCTGGCTGCCTTCCCCTTCCTTCCATCGCCTCTCCTTCCCCTCCCCTCCCTCTCTGTCTATTCTCGTCCCCGCCCCTCCGCTCCCGTTTCCCCCCATTTCTATATTCCTTGTTATCTCTCTTCCTCTCCTCCCTGCCTTTTCCCTGCCCCAGGGCAGGCTGAGCGAGGGGCCGCAGGCATGCGAAGGTCTTGCAAAACCAGCCCAAGGCTTGGGATAAAGAGGACGAACAGCAGCATCATCAATGCTTGGAGGATGGAAAGGAGGAGTATACGGAGGAGGAGGAGCAGCAGCAGGAGCGACACGGGCTGTCGTGTAAGTATGAGTACGGGTCGGGCTGGTCATAGTACGAACCAGTAGTGTGAGCTTGGATAGGAGAAGGAGGAGGATGAGGAGTGAGGAGGAGGAAGAGGAGGAAGAGGAGGAGGAGGAGGGGGAGGAGGAGGAGGAGGAGGAGGAGGAGGAGGAGGAGGAGGGAGGAGGAGGGAGGAAGAGGAGGACCAGGAGGGGGAAAGAGGGGGGGGGGGGAAAGGGTGATGGGCAGGGGCAGTGGGAGGGGACGAGGAGGATGAGGTGAATGGGAGAGGGAGATGGGAAATGGTTTCAGGAGGGGATGGGTACGAGGTGGCATTGAAGGGAAACGGGAAATGGTTGTGGGAGGGGGTGGTGAGGCTGAGGCAAAGGCAGACGGACATGGGGAGGGGTAGTGGGAGGGTCCTGGTTGAGTACTCCACTTACCACATTCCTGTCGTCCATTGTGTTGTCGTCGAAAAGGGCTGTCCACGATTTGGTTCGACCACTTATCTCTTCTCAAGGTGTGGGCGTCTTGCTCCTGTCGACAGGTCCAGCTTCTTCGCCCTAGCGTCGATCGATTACCTGACGTCTTTGTCTCACTCCTCCTTCTGGAGGAGCAGACAAAGGATGAGCAGGATTAGGAGAAGGAGGAGGAGGATGAGCAGGAGGAGGAGGAGGAGAAGGAGGAGAAGGAGGAGGAGTTGGAGGAGGAGGATGGGGAGGAACAGGAGGAACGGGAGCGTGAATGCTCAGGTGGAGGACAGCAGCTATGGAGGGGAGTGGCTTGGAAGGGATATTGCATGCGGACTGCTAGGCATGCTTGGCGTTTTGTTCGGCAGGTCTAGCCTCTTCGCCCTAGCGTCGATCGATTGCTTGACGTCTGTGTCGTCGTGAATGCTCAGGTGGAAGCAGCTATGGAGGTGGGTTGCTTGGAAGGGATTTTGTGTGCGGGCTGCGAGGCATGCCCGATTGCTCTGCCTATTCCTTCCTGGTTCTGTCCCTGGTGTGGAGGACCAGATGTTCGGTCTCATGGAGCATGTCCACTCGAGGAATCTCATCCACCGGGACATTAAGCCCGACAATTTTCTCATGGGCGTAGGGAAAAATGACACCGCCCCCCCTCGCGCATGACCGGCTGCTGCTCGCTGTGCTCGCCGGAAGAGTTCAGTCGTCGGGTCGGGTCTGGCGTCTGGCGTTGGTCATTGGAGCATGTCGCAGCTGTCACCTGGCAGCCTGGTCCTGTCGGCCGCGCGGCCGCGGAACCGCAGCAGCGGTCGTAGCCGTCGCCAGGTGGATCGAGCGTGTCGATGGAGCGGGCCTGCTGTGAAGCCCAGGGGCCCACAGGGGAGAGCCCTGGACGCCTGCGCGGAACAGCCCTCGGAGGGCCCTCGCGGCCGCTCCTCTCTCCTGCTTGCTTTCACCTGTCCTCCTCTCGTCCGTTCTTGCGCAAATTGTGCTTCAGCCCATAACTGGCTCCGACGTCTGCGATTGCCTGCATGTGCTCAGAAGCCTACTGCTGGTCTGCCGTCGCGATTGAGGTATCGTCCGCGTGGAAAAGCACCACGACGTTCAATCTAGCCTGCTGGGGGTGTTACGCGTGGCAGTTGTTATCGGTATGAGTTGTTGCTGTCCTCGGCTATTGGCGCCATTAGTGTTTTAGTGGTTACGATTCGTGCGCATGCTTTCCTGCCCCACTCGCATCCTGCGCATCGTCATTCCGTTCTTCGTCTTCTGGCCCATCCCCTTCTATTCTGTCTCCCCCTCCCTGTGCTTCCATCCTCCCTTATCATTATCATATCCTCTCGTTTGCCCAATTATCTTTCTTCCGTTCAACGGCATGTCAAACGCTAGTGTGTGTATATATATATATATATCCACGTGTGTATGTGTGTCTGTATGCGTATATATATATAGATATATGTATGTGCATCTGTGCTTATTCCCAAGACAGTGCTTGCACTTGGGGATTCTTACTTGTGCCACTGAGAAGTTGGATGAGCCCCGCGAGGATTTTCCACGTTGCCGCGGCCGCCTCGTGCGCTGGGTGGGTCCAGCGAGGTTTCGCCACGCTGCCTCACGTGGCCGCTTCGCGGCCGCCTCGTGCGCTGGGTTGGTCCGGCGAGGTTTCGTCAAGTTGCCGCGCGTGGCCACCTCGTGGCCACCTCGCGCGCCGGGTGGGTCCGGCGAGGTTTCGCCACGCTGTCGCACGTGGCCGCCTCGTGGCCGCCTCGTGCGCTGGGTTGGTCCAGTGAGGTTTCGCCACGCTGCCGCAGTTTCTTGGGAGCCTGCTGGCGGTCTCGGGATTCCTCTTGGGGCGCAGAGCTCGGAATGTCGAGTTACCTCGTTTGGGCCCTCTTGGGGCCCTGTTGGGGCCCTCTTGGACGCCGCCTGGGCTTTATCAGGACCCTCTTCCGCCGTTTTGGGGCCCTCTCAGGGGCTTCTTGGGCCGTCTTGGAGCGATCTTGGGGGCCTCTGGAGCCGCCTTGGACGCTATTAAGACAAAGCATGTGAATCTACCTCAAATGTACGAATGCACGTGTTCCCAAGGGTTTGGAACGATTTTTGCTTATTGGGGCTCGTCGTGGAGCCCTCTTGAGGGGTCTTTGAGGCCACTTGGGCAGTGTTGAGGCCCTCTTGGTTGTTTTTGAGGCATCCTCGGCGTCTTGGAATACAGCTTAAGCCAGCTTGGAGGGCATCTTGGGTATCTTGGAGGCCACGAGGTGTCGATTTGAAAGCTCCAGAGGCCACGGGGTTGCGTTAGCGAGCTCTACCCCCCACCTTTTCCTCCCCTGGTCCCCCCCCTGTAACGCGATGTTGGACCCCCTGGGAGGGGGAAAGGGCGATAGAGAGACAGCCAAATGTCTCACACGCCTCTCCACCCGCGGCAAGCGGGGCTCGGCGGATGTGTTCGCCTGGGCGCCTGCCTGATGTTACAGTTCCCGGAATAGGACAAGCAGCTCTACATGATAGACTTCGGGTTGGCCAAGAAGTACAGAAACGCGAGCACACAGGACTTCGCTTCGCTGGCAAATACCTTACAATTCCTAGCCGACAAGGAAGAATCTCTCTGGAGTTGCACAGGAGCATGGAGGGAAAATGCTTGTTAGGGATCCCCCCAAACGAGGCGTCCCAGGAAATACAATGGAGAGGGACTCAGAGATGGCAGCCAGGGGGGGTCACGTTCTGGGCTGCCCCCCACATGATGTGTTCGGTGCATGCCCTCAACTGCTCAGGGTGGGTGGGGGGGGATGTCTGTCCGGCGGGTGCTCATCGGCCGAGGCAACATCCAATTGAGCGACGTACAAAAAACGGGCGCATAAGCTGCTCGCTTAAGGGCGCGCGTAAGCGCCTTCGTTTCCAGCAGCTTAGAGTTCCGCGCTGGTGGCCCGCGTAAGACGCCGCATAAGGTCGCTGTGCCATCTCGCGCTAGACCCCTTTTTGATCGTCGTGCATCTGTGCCCAGCGATGCGCCGTGGGAGGTCGCAGCGGCGACGAGGGGAGGGGGAGGGAGGGAGGGAGAGGGGAAGGGAGAGGGAGAGGGAGAGGGATAGGGAGAGGGATAGGGAGAGGAAGAGGAGGCGGAGGAGGAGGAGGAGGAGGAGGGGAAGGAGGAGGAGGAGGAGGAGGAGCAGGATATTCCTGGATATTCCGTTGTCGCAAGAGTGATTATGGATCCTCAGGCCGCCCTCTGAACTCGAACCAGAAGTAGCCGAACCAGAAGATAATTGCCAGGAACAACAGGAGCCAGAGGAGGACGACCACAGCCGCGCATACGTCTGAGGGATACCTCGTCGCACACAGCGAGTGGATACTACATTGCACACGAAAATGACAGCCATATAGGAAGAGATGCGTTCAAATCGATACGGGTCTGTCCATGATGAAGCCCGCCACAGGCCGCTGGGCAAACTTTGCCGAACAAACTCGAACGCTGTACGGGTACTGAGCTCTCTTCCTCCACAACCTGCCTCACCAACAGCCAGACTCACGAACAACAAATACCCACTACCAACTGCGCAACCTCATTCCTCCAAACCTGCCCTCAGCCCAACACTGAACAGTAACAAGTGAAACAGAACGCACTAACCACGAACAGCCCAGAACGTATGCCTCGCGCTGGCCAGGAACCAGCCGACACCAAAAAGCGTTTGCCTTGCGCTGGCCAGGCTCAGCCAATAAGCAGGTACCTGTTGTTGGAGCCCACAAGAAACTTGGTGAGCACGCGAGGAAGCAGGGCCACAAGTTCGGGAGCCAGCCGAAGACGGGGAATACCCAGCCCAAGATGGACCTGATCGACCTATCCCCCACAAGTAGATCACGAAACAGATGCCGAACCCTGCTCAACTCTTTGTCCGACTTCGCCACCGCGATCGGCAACCCAATGAATGAAACAGGTGAAGCGGTGCCACCCAAGCGACAAGTTACAGCGGCGGACACGACTCTGAGCTCGCCAGAAAGCCAAAAGCTACGGAGAGCCTCGAGCCGATGATTGAGGGGAGGAGGATGCGGAGGAGGAGGAGGAGGAGGAGGAGGAGGGGGAGGAGGAGGAGGAGGAGGAGGAAGAGGAGGAGAAGGAGGAGGACGAGGAGGCGGTTAAGGAGGGGAAGGATGAGGAAGAGGAGGATGAGGAAGAGGAGGAGGAGGAGGAGGAGGAGGAGGAGGAGGAGGAGGAGGAGGAGGAGGAGGAGGAGGAGGGGGATATAAAGGCGATGATGATGATGCTGATGATGATGCTGATGATGATGATGACGATGCTGATTCTGCTGATGATGATGATGTTGATGCTGATGTTGATGACGACGATGATGCTGATTACGATACTGATGATGCTGATGCTGATGCTGATGATGATGACGCTGATGCTGATTCTGATGATGATGCTGCTTATGAAGATGACGATTATGATGATGATGATGCTGATGATGCTGATGCTGATGCTGATGCTGTTGCTGCTGCTGCTCCTGATGATGCTGTTGATGATGATGATGATGATGATGATGATGATGATGATGATGATGATGATGATGATGATGGTGATGGTGATGGTGATGGTGATGGTGATGGTGATGGTGGTGATGATGATGACGATGATGATGATGGTGATGATGATGATGCTGATGATGATGATGAGGATGATGATGATGATGTTGATGATGATGATGCTGATGATGATGATGTTGATGCTGATTCTGATGATGCTGATGATGATGACGATGCTGATGATGCTGCTGCTGATGCTGCTGATGCTGATCATGATGATGATGAGGAGGAGAAGGAGGAGGAGGAGGAGGAGGAGGAGGAGGAGGAGGTTCGCGACCCCTGAAGGAGGAGGAGGAGAAGAGGGAGGTTCGCAAGTAATCATCCCTCCTCAGTAGCACGCTCGGCGGCGAGCCCGCTGGCCCGCTCCGCGGCCAGCCGCTGCGCCTCGCGGCCAAGCTCCACAGCACGGCCGCGCGTGCTGAAGCCACATGCCAGTAAGGCATCGCTCAATGCCACTCTTGGGCACGGCGCGCCCCACTGAACTGGAGGGGTCCAAGCGGAGGCTCCGCCATGCGGGCAGCAGTGACCCCTTCCGCCCCTTCCAAAGCGAAGTGGCGGGCCCAAGACGCCAGTACGGCCTCCGACGGGCTGCATGCCTCGTCGATAGCCGCATCCCAGGCCCAGTGGGGGTGCATCCCACGGCTGACGCGGCTGCGTGCACTCCTCGCCCTCAGGGGTGGCTCACCATGCTTGGGCGGACAGGGCGCTAAGAGCCCATGGCCGCGATCAGGGCACGTGGCGTGACCCCAGCAAGTCGTGCAGACCAACATTGAAGAGGAAGCGCCCAAGGGTCCACCCTCTGGGCAGCACCATTCGCGAGGCAGCAAGGAGGCTGTGCCCGCGTACGCGCCAGGGCCCAGCCAGAGGCGGAGCGTCCGTGCGCGCCTCGGGCTCCGAGCCTGGACGAGCGGCCGCTCCTACATTCGCCCCTGGGGCCGAGCCCGCGACCGCAGGCTCAGCGGGCGATTCTTCCCGAGCTCCCCCACCCTCCTCACCCTCCGACTCCGATCACCCCTCCACCTCGAGCGCAACAGTGCGGAGGGCCTGAAGGCCTTGATGGTCGCGAGTGCCGGCTTCAGTCAGCACGGCTTCCATGCGCCCCGTGTATCGGGTGAGGACCCGTGCACGATAGAGCCAACCAAAAAGGAAAGCGCGGTCATGCTCGGCCAGCCGGCCTTCGGCCGCCCCAGTCTTTGCTAGGGCGTCGGCGGCATGAATCCCGTCGCACTGCCAAGCTGCGATGCGTCCCTCCACGACGTCGTTCCACGTCGCGTGCGCGAGGACCTTTGAAAAGGTCGCGTTCTTGAGCGCATCGCCGACATCCAGCTGGTGCCATAGGTGGGCGCGGGGCTGGCCTGGCCCGCTGGCGCTCGCCAGGTCTCGCCCGCAGGCGACAGAAGCACTACAGTCAGAATGCAGCGTGTAGCGGCCAACGGCGTGCCTTCACGCCATCAGGACAGCGTAATTCTCCCCATCCCTGGCGGACTGGGACGGGCAGAGATTTCGGGGCACTACCCCGCGCAGAGAGCCCAAGAGACGAACATCGGCGTCGTAGGCAACAACGGCCCAGCCAGCCACCCTCAAGGTGGGGAGCTCAGCGTCGAAGAAAGCACCATCGTTAAGCATGTGCCCGCCGTCTAGCATGAGGTCGGTCGACGGCCAGCGCTCCGCCCGTAGCTCGGCGCCAGGCGGCAGCGGCGGCCGCCGAAAATGGGCAAGGTCAGGCAAAAACACTCGTGCAAAACGTTCCCCAGCCTGCTCCCCGCCCTCCAGCACTCGAGCGGCAGCATGGTGCACCGCGGAGTCCAGATTGTCTGCCCTCCAGGCTTGGTGCGTTGGGCACTGGAAAATCTAAGGTACAGGGTGCCTGGCGAGCCGCGGCAGCACTGGCAGAGGTCACACAGCCCCAGCCCCTCCCCGTACCGGCAGAAACGGGCCTGGCACCAATGCGTGCAGCAAAGCAGGCCTCGCTGAGCCCGCTTGTGGTGGTGGAGGCTTCAGCCGCGTTCAGCGGGAGCGTGCAGCAGCTCGTTGAGGGGTCGCCAGAAGACGGGCGCAACCCAGCTGCGGCGGCCAGGCCTGACCAAGCGGCCCATTGCGTGAATGTCCGATGCCTGCTGGGCCGCTTCTTGCAAGAAGGCAGGCGAAAACTCCTGGAGGTCCCAACGTTCGCCCTTCTCTTCGATCAGCTTGAACGGCTCGTCCAAGCTCCAGCCGACGCGCTGCAGGGTGAGCGCCAGCGCCGTGATCGGGTTGCTGCAGCGCGCCCACGGGAAGCGCTGCGTGTCCAGCTGCCGCGCGCCATCCACTAGCACCTGCAGCAGGGGCCGCTGTAAGACGCCGCTCCGAACCATTTCGACGTGCGTCGGGATGACCAGCGCTGCGACTAGCACGAACGTGTCGCGCCTCCTGCCGGCGCGCCAGCTGGCCATGGCTAGCCCAAGGGAGGCCCCTCGGGGGAAGCGCCCTTCGGCGCGGAGCGCGGCGGCCCGCGGCCCTTTTAGCTTGCCGTTCGGCGCGCCCTGGATCGCGGTGCCCTACAACGTCATCGCGCTTGGGCCAGCGCGGTGGACTGACGCGATCGGCGCGCCTGCCTGGCGAAGCTGCTCCAGGCGTGCGCCTCGAGCCTAAGCGTCTGCAAACCGCTGGCTCTGCGTGCCCGCGTGCCGCAGGCGCCCGGCCGTCGCGTCGCCCCCCAGGGCACGATGGGAGTGCGACCTCTGCGCCATGCTGATGTCCCAGCGCTCGCAGAGCGCCTCCGCGAGAGCCGTGGAGTTGGCCAGGAAGCCCGTCTTGCGGTCGGCGATTGATCGGCAGGCCCAGGGCCGCCGCGTTCAGCTTGACCGAATCGCGGCCTCTCACAAGCTGCTGCGTGACCGTTCTCTCCCCGCCGACACCGTGGAGAGGAGTGTCGTCGATCGCGTCTTTGATGGAGATAATCGGGGCGCAGGCCGCGCGCTTGAGCACCGCCGGAAACGTGAGGCGGGCCTGCGACGTGACGCATGAGCAACCAGCTATGACGCCACGGTCGGCTCGCGGCTCACAGCTCCCTGGAGCTCCACAGCTGGCGCGCGCGGTAGCAGCCGCGCAAGCGCCGCAGGGGTCCGACGTCGAACTCGGCGTGCCGGGCGGCCTGCGACAGCTCCGAATGCGAGACGTGCTTGTAGTATTTGGCCGTGTCCAGGATGACCGCGGCCGAGGCGAGGCCGCGCTGGGGGGCGAACGCAGCCAGCGCGTTGTGCACGTACGCGCTCTGGCCGTGTCCAGGATGACCGCGGCCGAGGCGAGGCCGCGCTGGGGGGCGAACGCAGCCAGCGCGTTGTGCACGTACGCGCTCATATCGCACGCGGTGCGAGAGTCCGCCCCCCAGAAGAAACGGCAGTCCAGGCGCCTCTCCCATTGGGCGCGCCAGCGGTGGCGAATCCGGCTCCAGACGCGCGCCAACAGGGGCATAAGACCAATGCGCCTGATGCCGCCCGTTTCCTTTTCCAGGAAGATGATCATCACCAGCCGCGACGGCCCGACGTCGGGCCTCCGCTCGAGCTTATTGAGCACGCCTGCCAAACGCTGCAGCATCTCATCGGGCAGCTGCTGAAGGAGCCTCGGGTTGAATGAATTCCACCCCGAAGCCGTGCTTGCTGGGAAAATCTCCGCTGCCCGGCAGAGATTGGCCATTTCAATCGGTGGAAGCCCTGGCTCGACGTCCCACTCCAACGGGTGTGCTTCCGCCTGCCGTGGCGCCTCGGCCCTCAGCGGCAGCCAGGTGCGCAGCTCCGCCTCCAGCGCCGCCTGCCCCACTAGAGGGGCCCTGCGCAGCCCGGGCGCCTCCTCCGCGAGCCAAGGGGGTCCATCGGGCGCGAGGTCCATGCGGTCGGCGTCGGGCTCGAGAACTAGTGGCGGCGGCTGCCTGGGGCCTTTTTGCTGGCCCAGTGAGCGGCCCTGCCGCCGCCGGCCACGGCCGAAGGCAGACCGAGCGCGCCGCGCCTCGGCAGCTGTTGCCGTGACTCGGCGGTCGCACTTACGGTCGAGGGCCCTGGCAAGCTGCGGCGCTTGCTCCAGCAACTCGGGAATCGAAATGCCCTGCAGAGACCCCTCCGCTGCGGACCGCGAGGCCGCAGCTAGGTGGCTGGCCTGCTCCGCGTGCCAGCGCCAGGTCCTGGCGCCCCACGGCCCGGGCAGGCCGATGCACGAGCCGCCGGAGGCTGAGGCAGCGTTGCCCCTCCGCGGGGGCCCCTTTGGATTCGGCAGCCGATTCGGCAGCCGAGATGGCGCCCTCGGTAGGTCGACTCCCGCCCATCGGAACCGCTCCCCCGCCGCCTGCTGCAGAAAGGCCAGAAGCTGGCCAGGCTCCCAAGACCGCTCAGGGGCCCATTGCTGGTGTCGCCCCAGACATAGGCTTCGTCCTTCCGCGGGATCTTGAAGCCCTTGATGGGGGCTTTCTGCCGCGCCAGCGCGCGCCCCGCAAGACCGCGCAGCTGCACCTCCACGATTGCGTGAGGCCCGCGCGGCGTGTCCAGCCAGGTGCGCGCCGTCTGCACGAAGGGCACTAGCACCTTGCTGGCAAGGAAGAAGTCGTATCGCCTGTTGTTGATGGTGGGCTGGTCGGGAGCCAAGTTCGCCGCTTCGAGGTCGGAGACCCAAGCAAGCTCTGCGAAGCCGCCCGCGTCGACATTCCAGCCGCCTCCGAGTAGGAACGACCTCTGCTGGGACGCCAGCGCCTCTCTCAGCTCCCCGAGGATGGTCAGATTTGGCTCCGCGAGGCAGACGCAGTCGACCAAATAGACCGAGCCCACGATCAGGGAGATGCCGTCCAGCTCAACCTGCTGCAAGGCGATCCTGTGTGCGCCCGCGTCGAACCTCCAATCGACCGCGCACGATCCCCAGCGAGCCGAGGCCAGCGAGGCAACTCCCGCCGGAATGTCCAGCGGCCAGTCTCCCGTCGAGAAAGCCTCCACCGCATGCGTGCGGAATCCTGCGTTCCAGGCCTAGGCGCGCGGCCCCTCACGGGCCGACTCGCGCTGCCGGTGTTCCGGAGGCGGGGGCGGAGGCGGAGGAGGAGGAGGAGGAGGAGGAGGAGGCGGAGCAGGAGGAGAAGCAGGAGGAGGAGGAGGAGGAGGAGGAGGAGGAGGAGGAGGAGGAGGAGAAGAGGAGGAGGAGGAGGAGGAGGAGGAGGAGGAGGAGGAGGAGGAGGAGGAGGAGGAGGAGGAGGAAGAGTCTGGAAGAGTCTGGAGGAGCCGTGCTCGGAGCTGCCCAGCCATGCGCGCGCCGGACGGCGAGCCGCCAGCCCGCGCCAGGAGCACATCGCCTTCCGCGAGCACAAGAGCCTCACGGACTCCCTGCGACACTCCCTCCCCGCGGCCCCTCCCCCTTGGGTGCGGCCGCTGGCCCCGGCGCCGCCGGGGCGTAGCTTCCTCCGTCTCGTCGGCCTGGAGGCAGGCACGGGGTGTGGTGTACGCGTGTGTGGTGCACATGCTGAACCTGGCGATGACATCTATCGTAGATCACATCGCCATTTCCATAATGGGCACCCCACGTCGTCAAGCCGCACCCTTTTTCCGACCTCCCAGGTCGGGAGCCTTGAGGCGGGGGTCCAGGCAAACGGGGGTCAGCCGGAGCGCCTGTTCCTGCAGGACCTTTCAGGGTCAGGTGCGCACTGGCCCAGGCTAGCGCGCAGGATCCTGCAGGATCCTGCCGGATCCTGCCAAGCGTGACTGACCAGGTTTGCACTGACCCTGGTCAGTGCGTCCCCGACGTCCTCAGTCTCGGCGCCGAGCGGGAGGAGGGAAGTGAGAAGGCGGCAGGGCTTCTCGGAAGGCCGCGGGGCTTCTTAGAAGCCCCCCAGCCTTCGGAACGCTCAGAAATCTTGCCATGAGGCTAGACTTTGAGAAGGCCCGCCCCCTCTCACTGTCCCCCCCCCGGCTGGCCGCCGACAGTCTGTCCGCCAGCCGTCTCTGCGTGCGAATGTGATTCCCTTCCCGTGTGAGGGGCGCAGGCCACCCCTGGGGGTTTCAGGTGGTCTGCTGGATTTGGATGCCACCCTGCGCGTGTCGAGCAGCAAAACCCCCCCTTGCAGAATCTTGACGCGGCCTGCAGGCAAGGGGCCACTAACCCGAGTAAGCGATTAAGGACCCCCCCCCCCCCCCCCCTCTCCGGTGAAAGGATAACGCACCCGGCACCCGGAAGCGTTATCCTGGCACCAGGAGGGGGTACACCAGATCGCACGGGTCCCCCGGAGTCTTTATTGGGATGCCACCCGAGGCGGGGCGCTGGAATTATTTATTTTCCTTCCATTTGCGCGGTGCTAATAATATCGCTCGGCGAGCCCCCCCCAAAATAATTATTTAATTACGGCGCGGTACTAATGATAACGCCGGGGGGTTCCTTAATTGCTTCTCCGGGTTATATGTACCTCCATTGGCTCCAGGAGAGCCTCGATGTGTCCTCCAGAAACTCTCCGAGGGAGTTTATTTGATGTGTTGTCTCGCTCTCGAGTGTCTGTCCGTGGTGTGTGCGATAGGTATCGCCCCCTCGAGGGGCGGCGGATTCCTCTTGCCTTGCCTGATTGTAACACTGGGGAAAAGAACCCTCCGAGGGAGCCTCCAAGGATGGTTCTGGGGAGCCCCGATAAGGGGGCCTCGTGGTTGTGCCCTGGCACTGAGCCTGTGGTGAGCAGCTTGCCCTCCAGGTGTCTCCAGAGAGAGAGAGAGAGAGAGAGGCTTCTAGCGCCAGCCTCAAGGGCGCTTCCTTCCTCTGGCATGCCCGCCCAGCCCCCAGTGGCTTCAAAGTGCTTCGAGTGACCTCCAAGTGGCTTCCTGACGATTGCCAGGAGCTTCAGGGGCTTCGGGGGCCGTCCCATAGGCTGTGCCTCCAACGCCCTGTCCATTTGCCACTCTGGAACTCTGTCTTTCTGTCCTCCTCCACGCCTTTCTCCGCCTCCTCCCGACCACACCACCAGCCGCCCACCTCACCCCTTCGGTCCTGGTTCTCCGTCGGCGGGCACTGGTCTTCAGCCCCTCCAGCGCTCCTCCCGTCCCCTGCCTGCTCTCCAGGGCACGGCCAGATACGCGAGTATCCACACACACTTGGGCGAGGAGCAGAGCCGCAGGGACGACATGGAGGCGCGCAGATGGGGTGGGCGCGCCAGGTTCAGAAGCCTCCACAGGGTTGGCGCGCGCGTGACGCGCTCTGTCGAGCATCTCCTCATCCTGCGTGTTCTGACGACGTGGACCTCGGGCTCGGGCCGCCGTCTTGGGCCATCTTGGGCCCCTCTCGGCCGTCCGAGGGGCCTCCTGGGGCGGCCTTGGGGGCTGTCCTGCGGTCCTGTCTGCGGCAGCCTTGGGGCCCTGGTGGAGTTTGCCTGTGCAGTCTGGGGGACGTTTCTTGCGGCATTCATTCTTGATGTTTTTTGGGTGGGTGGGTGGGTGGGTGGGTGAGGTGGGGTGGGTGATTGGGTGAGGTGGGGTGTAGGGCAGCATATCGTCGGCTACATGTTGTTGGTTTGGTGGCGATTTTGGCTTTCCGTGGATGGCATCCTGGCCTTCCCGTTGGTACTTTGGAAGCCTTTTGGCGCCCTTCTGGCGCCTCTTCGGGTCGTCTCGGGGCGGTTGAATGATGCCTCTTGAGTCTTGAGACGATCTTAGACCATCCCTGCGGCCTCCGGCCTCCGTGCTCCACAACGCCGCACCAGCTTGCTGCGCGGGACGAGCGTGACCTCCTGGGGCGCCCGAGGCTGTCGTGCCAGGGTCTCGCTGCTGCTCCGGACGCCGGGGGCGTCTGGGAGAGGGGGAGGGTCGAGCTGTGAGAGACGGAGGCCAGTGCAAACCGGGGTCAGCCTGAGCGCCGGATCTTGCAGGCTCCTGCAGAGCCAGGGGTGCATTTGGACCCAGCCTTGCGCGCAGGATCCTGCAGGCTCCTGCAGGATCTTGCAGGATCCTGCAAAGCCCGACTGACCCGGGTTTGCACTGACCCAGGTCACTGCGTCCCCGAGTCTCGCTGGTGCCAGCGCGTGCACGGCCTCGCTCGGGACGCCTGGGGCGTCTGGGAGAGGGGTGTGCGTGGAGGGAAACGGGGAGCTGCACCCTTCTGGCGGCCTCGGGCTCCTCGCTGCCTCGCGCCCCCCCCCCCCGCCCCCTCCCCCCGCTCTGCACTGGTTCACTCTGGCCCTCATCTCATACCGTCAAGACGCCGAAAGAAGGGCTGCCTTGGGGGGCTCAGGAGGGGCTCCATTTTTCGGGCCGGGCCGTTCCTCATTTTGCGCTCCTTCTGCCAACACGCTGACTATGTTCTGTCTTCGCTCGTCCTTCTCCCTCCTCCCTCCTTTTCCATCCTCCATCGCCCCTGGGGGCGGCGCGGCGGATTCGAAACCAGGGCTGACTTCCACGCAGACAGGCTGGAACAAAAAGGAGGAAGTGGAGGAGCAGGAGGCGGAGGAGGATGATGGTGAAGAGGAGTAATCATAATCGTATCCATATGACGTATGTTAATTACCCATCGGTCGTTGAAAGTGGGTATTTCTGGATTTCCAGACCCCAGTCTACTCTGGGTGTCTCCCTACTTGATCAACGAGCGCTCTTCCCTTGTCCCTCATCTTTAAGATGCGGGCGGAAAATCAAATCTTCTTCCACCGCCTTCCTACTTCATGTTTCTACCCACTTCTCCTGCCTGGTTGGTACCATAATAGCGCTGATCATGTGAATAATGGCGAGACGAGTAATAAGAGGGATACGGATGCCGTATGGATTCCCGTATGGTCTCTTGCACGGTCTCCCGTGTGGCCTCCCGTATGGTCTCCCGCTTTGTTTGCCGTAGGTTTTCATCTACGGTCCCCCGTTCACTGAGCGCCTTCCACTACTCGCAACGTGCCTACTCGCAACGTGACTACTCGCAACGTCCACTACTCGCAATGTGCCTCTGTATCGATGTGATGGTTCGTGAATCCCCCATGCCGGATCCAGGCCATTTGCGAGTAGTTCTTTTATGAGTCGTGTAACGCGCTTGTCAACCCGTAAGGTCTCCCGGATGTTTTCCCGTATGGTCTTCCGCGTGGTTTCCCTCATAGTTACCTGTATGGTCCTCCGCCTGGTTTCCGGCAAGATCTCCCGTATGGTCTCACGTATGGTCTCCCGCATGGTTACCTAGATGGTCTCACGTACGGTCTCCCTTTGGTTACCCATTTGGTCTACCTTATGTTTTCCCATATGGGCTCCTTCATGATTTCTCGCAGGATCTCTTGTGTGGGTTCCCATCCGGGCTCCCATATGGTCGTGCGAATGGTCTCCCGTATGGTTTCCCCGTCTGTTCTCCCGCACGGTCTCCCCTTGGTCTGCCCCGCATGGTCTCCCTCATGGCTTCCCGTATGGTCTCCCGTGTGGTCTCCCGTGTGGTCTGCCGCATGGCCTCCCACATGGTCTCTGGTCTCCCGCGTGGTCTCCCGTGCTGCCTTCTGTATGGCCACCCGCACGGTCTCCCGCGTGTTCCCGCATGCGCATGGTCTTTCGTGGGGTCTCCCGTTCGGGCGAGCGTGGGCCCGACTACGACGGCAGCGGCTCCCGCTCGATGTCTCCTCACAGTTTACCCCGAGGCGTCCTGGCCAGAGGAGGCCCCCGAACTCGGGAACGGCGCTCTCGCCGGAGACCTCCTCACAATCCAGGCAAGCTGGCGGAGGCCCAGCCACGACGGCAAGGGCTCCCGCTCGATACTTCCGCACGATTTACTCCGAGAGCCTCTGGCCAGTAAGACCCCCGAACTCAGGAACGGCGCTCTCGCTCGAGATTTCCTCGTGATTCAATCAAACTGGTGGAGACCCAACTACGACGACAAGGGCTATCGCTCGATATTTTCTCAAGTATTCGTAGAGGCCCTTGCCAGAGAGGCCCCCGAGCTCAAGAGTATCTCGTTCGAGATTTTCCCGTAATTCAGGCAAGTTGGTGGAGGCCCAGACACGGCGAGAATGGTTCTCGTTTTATCTTCATCAATCTGTATTCCGAGATCCCCTGGCCTGGCCAGAGAGGCCCCCGATCTCAGGAAAGGCACTCTCGCTCGAGAGTTCCTCGCACTGCAGTGAATGGCCGACAATGAAGATATTTCCCCCGAAAGGGGGTGCGAGCGAAGAAGAAATGGGCGGGCATCGAGGGTTGGGATATACAGAATGCAACTCACGCGTGCCAGTGAGAGCCACGTCTTAAACTGATTGTCGTCGTCGTCGTCGTCGTCGTCGTTGAACTCTCATTCTTGAAGAATAATCAATTGTTCATCCCCCCCCACCGGTGCACATTAATTTTTTCGATTGAAGTGCCACCCCCGGGGCTCGCACCTTGTTTTTTCTCAAGGAAAGTCTTCCTGCTCAAACTGTGCCCCTGCCCCCCGGGCTACAACAACGGCTCCCGCCTGAGACTTCCTCGATTTTTACTCAGGACCCCCGCTCCCGCCTGAGACTTCCGCGCAATTTACTCAGGAAAGGCGCTCCCGTCTGAGACTTCCTCGCAATGTAATCAAGACCCCCGCTCCCGCCTGAGACTTCCGTGCAATTTACGTGGGAACGGCGCTCCCGCCTGAGACTTCTTCGAATTTTACTCAGGACCCCCGCTCCTGCCTGACATTTCCGCGCAATTGACTCAGGAACGGCGCTCCCGCCTGAGACTTCCTCGCAATTTAGTGAGGACCCCCGCTCCCGCCTGAGACTTCCGTGCAATTTGCTCAGGAACGGCGCTCCCGCTTGAGACTTCCTCGCAACTTAGTCAGGGCCCCCGCTCCCGCCCGAGATTTCCTCACAATGTACTCAGGACTGCGCTCTCGCGTGCGACGTCCTCACAAATTATTCTGGAATTGCGTTTCGGCGCTCAGGAACCACGCACGCGCCAAGGACGCCTTCACAACGTGGTATCTTCCCTCTTCCTTCGTCCTTCCCCCTCCCCTTCCTCCCACTCTCCCTCGTTCTTCCCCTCCTCCTCTTGCAGGGCCCGCGCCAATTCCAATGGCGGGCAGAGAGATGTACGCCCCCGAAGGATTGTCCGCCCGTTCCGGTTTGCCCGTACGTCTAAGCCCGCCGGCCCCAGCAAAGAGAAATGATCCCCCCGAAAGGGGTGTGATCGAAGACGAAGAGGGCGGGTTTCGAGGGTGTAGGGTATACGTGTTGAATGACTCGCGGGCAAGTAAGAGCGTACAGCCTTAAAATGGTTGTTGTTGTTGTTGGTGTTGTTGTTGCTGTTGTCGTTGTCGTCGTCGTTGTCGTGGTTGTTGTCGTTGTCAATGTTGTCGTTGTTATTGTTGTTGGTGGTGCTGTTGTCGGGTATTGTTGTTGTTGTTGTTGTTGTTGTTGCTGTTGTTGCTGTTGTTGTTGTTGTTGTTGCTGTTGCTGTTGTTGTTGGTGTTGTTGTTGTTGCTGTTGTCGTTGTCGTCGTCGTTGTCGTGGTTGTTGTCGTTGTCAATGTGGTCGTTGTTATTGTTGTTGGTGGTGCTGTTGTCGGGTATTGTTGTTGTTGTTGTTGCTGTTGCTGTTGTTGTTGTGATTGTTGTTGTTGTTGTTGTTGTTGTTGTTGTTGTTGTTGTTGTTGTTGGATTCTCATTTCTAAGAATCATTGTCGCCCCCTCCGACAAACATTGTTTTTTCGATGGAAGTGATCCTCACGGGGCTCGCACTCTGCTGTTAACAAAGGCAAGCGGGGTGTCACCAATTTGGGCCCCTGGCCCCCGAGTTAACAGTAACAGTTACAATTGTTGTAGCAACAGTTACAGTTACTTAATTTTGCCTCATTATTTATTCCCAAATCACGTTCTCGAGCTGGACTTCCTCACACGTTATGCAGGAATCGCGCTCTTGCGTAGGACTCTCTCGTAATTCATTCAGGCGCCGCGCCCTCGACACTCTCGTGATTTACTTGGGAATCGCGCTATCGGTCAAGAACTCCTCGCGATTCATGCAGTACTCAAGGTTCAGCAGGACGCCTTCTCGACCTGGCCGCTTGGGCCCGCCTTCCCGGCCCGCCCGTTAGGGTCTGACCCGCCCGATGGGCTCGTCTGGTTCTGCCACGTGCTTTCTGCTCCTAGCCGCCCTCCTGCTAACCCCGTGCTTCATCCTTTTCCCTCCCCCTTTCATCCGTATTCTCTTCCCCTGTTTCAGGGGCCGCACCAATTACGCGCGGCAGGTAAGGAAGATGTACCCCGAGGGGTGTATGATCGAAAACGAAGAGGGCGGGTACCGAGGGTTTGGGACACGTGCTAAAAGTGGCACGCGAGTAGACAAGAGCGTAGAGTCTTAAACTGATTGCCGTTGTTGAGGTTGTGGTTGTGGTTGTGGTGTTGTTGTTGTTGCTGTTGAAGATTGATTTTAATTATAATTATCGTTCATCACCGGAAACGGTTCCGCGCGCTCTCGCCTCGACGCCAACTACATTTTCTCTGAAAACGAGGCTCCCGCTCGAGCGTTGGCTTGAGCCTAAATGTGGGCCCTTGGAGGCCCAGCTACGACGACAACGGCTCCCGCTCGATACTGATTCACAATTTACCCCGATGCATCCTGGCCAGAGAGGCCCCTGAACTCAGGAACGGCGCTCTCGCTCGAGATTTCGTCGATATTCAATCCAGCTGGCGGAGGCCCAGCCACGACGACAAGGGCTCCTGCTTGATACGTCCTCACGATTTACTCCGAGAACCTCTGGCCAAGAAGGCCCCCGAACTCAGAAACGGCGCTTTCGCTCGAGACTTGTTGTGGTTGTTGTTGTTGTTGTTGCTGCTGCTGTTGTTGCTGTTGTTGCTGTTGTATTTGTCGTTCCTGTTCTTGTTGTCATTGTTGTTGTCGTTGTCGTTGTTGTTGTCGTTCTTGTCGTTCTTGTCGTTGTTGTTGTTGTTGCCGCTGCTGCTGCTGTTGTTCTCTCCCCCACTGAATAGTAATCATTGTTGATCCCCTCTCCGGTGACCATTGTGCTTTTTCGATTGAAGTGCTCCCCCCTGTGCTCGTATCTTTTTCATATAGGAGAGAAAGTCACTTGGCTCAAACTGTGCCCTTCGCCCCCGGGTTACAACAACAACGCAACGGCTTCCGCCCGAGACTTCCTCACAATTTAGCAAGGACCCCCGCTCCCGCTTGAGACTTCCTTGCATTTTACTCAGGAGTAACGCTCTCGCTTGTGACTTCTTTGCAATGCATCCAGGAATCGTTCTCTCGGCGCTCTGGAGTCGCGCTCTCGCTGGAGACTTGCTTGCAACTTACTCAAGAATCGCGCTCTTGCGTTGGAACCCGTTGCAGTTTATTCAAACGCCGCGCTCCCGACACTCAGGCACCCAGGAGTCGCGCTCACGCTTGGGATTCCCTCACAGCTGACTGAGGAGTCGGGATCTCGGTGCCATTCGTGGCCCAGTTGCAGCCCTTCGTGGCCCCTTCGCTGCCCTTCGTGTGCCCGTTGCAGCCCTTCGTGGCCCCCTCGCTGCCCTTCGTGGCTCCGTGCGCAGCCCTTCGTGGCCCCTTCGTGGCTTCGTTTGCGCCCTTCGTGGCCTCCTCGCTGCCCTTCGTGGCCCCGTTGCAGCCCTTCGTGGCCCCCTCGCCGTCCTTCGAGGCTCCGTTGCAGCCCTTTGTGGCTCCCTAGCTGCCCCTGGCGGCCACGTTCGCGCCCTTCGTGGCCTCCTCGCTGCCCTTCGTGGTCCCGTTACAGCCCTTTGTGGCCCCTTCGCTGTCCTTCGTGGCCTCGTTGCAGCCCTTAGTGGCCCCCTCGCTGCCCTTCGTGGCCCCGTTGCAGCCCGTCGTGGCCCCCTCGCTGCCTTCGTGGCCCCATATATGTATGCCCTTCGTGCCCCCCGCTCGTTCGCGCCCGTCGTGGCCCCATATGCATGCCCTTCGTTGCCCCGCTGTCGCGTTTCGTGGACCATTCGCTGCCCTTCGTGGCCCCGTTGCGGCCCCCCAGAGGCCACATCCTTGCCCTCTGCGGCTCCATATACGTATGCCGTTTGTGGCCCCCGCTCGTTCGCGCCTTTCGTGGCCCCATATGCATGCCCTTCGAGGGCCCGCTGTCGCCCTTTGTGGCCCCCTCGCTGCCCTACGTGGCCCCGTTGCTACCCTTAGTGGCCCCGTGGATACCCTCTGTGGCCCCGCATTATCTGCCCATCGTGGCCCCCGCTGGTTCGCGCCCTTCGTGGCCCCATACGCATGCCCTTCGTGGCCCCGCTGTCGCTCTTCGTGGCCCCCGTCCTGCCCTTCGTGGCCCCGCTGTCACTCTCGCTGTCGCGCTCGCTCTTGCTTCGCTCGTCGTCGTCGTCGTCGCCGCCGTCGTCGTCGTCGTCGTGGTCGTCGTCGTCGTGGTCGGTCCCCTATCCGTCCCTCTCGGGGTCGGGTTGCCGCCGATCAGCGCGGCCGCCCCGCCGCTTGCCGGGCCCGGCCTGCAGGGAAGAAGTATGTTCCCCCCCAAAGGGGTTCGATCGAAAACGAAGAGGGCGGGCATCGAGGGTCTGGGAAATACGCGCTGGACGACACTCGAGCAGCTAAGAGCGAACAGTCTTATACTGATTCTTGTTGTTGGTGGTTGTGGCATTGGTTTGTTGATGTTGTTGTTGCTGTTGTTGGTGATGATGCTGATGCTGACCCCCCTCCACTGGCGCGAGCGTCAGCAGCGCTTTGCACGCATGGTCGAGCGGCCCGCGCCTGGTCCAGGAGCGGCGGCCGCCGCGGCAGATATGGAAGCTGCGCGAGCGAACCTCAGCGCAACAGGCGACGAGGGAACGCCCGAGATGCCTCCTCGGACCCCTCGGGCTCCTCGGCGGCCCCAGCGCTTGGCACACCGATGCTGCTATCAACGTTCTGCGCCGTCGGCCCCCCACGGCCTTGTCGAGCTCCTCGGTCCCGCTCGGCTCTTCGACGCTGCTCTCGCCAAGCTGCCCCGTCGGCACCCCCACGCGCTTCTCGATTCCCCCGGTTTCGGGCGCGACACGAAAGCAGCCCTCGAGCTGCGATTCCGCCGCCCTCTGCGCCTCAAGGCCCCCTTCCTTGCACGTCGAGGCGAGGTCTAACGCCTCGAGGCCGTCGCCCTTCGGGAACTGGGCGGGCTCCTTGCCACCCGCAGGTAACCCCGCCCCGCCCCTTGCATCCCGACTGACCGCCGTAGCCACCGCCACCGCAGTCTCCAGGAGGTCCGCCCCCGCGTTGGCTGCGGCCCTCACGGGCGCGCGGGCGATCGCCGCCGCAAAGGGGGCGACGTCCTCCTTCTCCATGGCTCCCGCACACGCCCGCCGCTTTGAGTACAGCGTGCGGAACGCTCGCAAAGCACCCTCGAGCGCAGAACGGCTTATGATGATGATGGTGATGATGATGATGCTGATGCTGATGCTGATGCTGATGATGATGATGATGCTGATGATGCTACTGCTGTTGATGATGCCTGTGATGATGATGAGGATGAGGGTGAGGATGAGGATGAGGATGATGTTGATGTTGATGCTGATCATGATGCTGATTATGCTGATGCTGATCATGATGATGGTGGTCCTGATGCTGATGACTATTATGACGGTGATGATGATGATGTTGTTGATGATGATGATGGTGATGCTGATGCTGATGCTGATGATGATGATGCTGATGATAATGATGATGATGATGATGATGATGGTGGTTGCCATGCTAATGAGGATGGTGGTGGCGATGATTAGGAGGATGATGATGCTGTTACTGCTGATGATGCTGCTGCTGGTGATGATGATGATGATGATGATGATGATGATGATGATGATGATGATAAGGATGATGATGATGAGGATGATGATGATGATGTTGATGATAATGACGACGGCGACGATGATCATGATTATGATGATGATCATGATCATGATGATGCTGGTGCTGCTGATGATGATTATGATGTTGCTAATGCTGATGATGATGCTGATGATGCTGACGATGATGATGCTGGTGGTCATGATGCTCATGACGACGATTATGATTGTGATGGTGGTGGTTGTGCTGATGAGGATGATGATGGTGATGATGAACATGCTGATGCTCCTGATGAGGATGATGATGGTAATGATGAACATGCTGATGCTGCTGACGATGATGATGATGGTGACGGATGGTGATGATGCTGATGATGATGACGATGATGCTGCAGCTGGTGGTGATGGTGATGATGCTGAAGATGATAATGGTGATGCTGATGATGATGTTGATGATGTTGATGGTGATGATGCTGATGATGATGGTGATTATGATGGTGATGATGATGATGATGATGGTGGTGGTGGTGGTGGTGATGCTGATGCTGATGCTGATGATGATGATGATGATGATGCTGATGATGATATGATGATGATGATGATGATGATGATGATGATGATGATGATGATGATGATGATGATGATGATGATGATGATGATGATTTAGATGCTGCTGCTGCTGCTGCTGATGATGATGATGATGATGATGATGATGATGATGATGAGGATGATGATGATGATGATGATGATGCTGATGTCTGATGCTGATGCTGCTGATGATGATGATGATGATGATGGTGATGATGATGGTAAGGATGCTGAGTAGGAGAAGGAGTAGGCGGAGTAGGAGTAGGAGTAGGAGTAGGAGTAGGAGTAGGAGGAGGAGGAGCAGGAGGAGCAGGATGATGAGGAGGAGGAGAAGGAGGAGGAGCAAGAGGAGTAGCGGGGGAGGGGGAGCAAGAGGAGGAGCGGGGGAAGGGGGAACATGAGAACTCGACCCACGGTTCCAGGCTATCGCCTACGTCCTCCTCTATTTCATGCGCGGCGGTCTGCCTTGGCAGGGTCTGCGGGGCGCCACCAAGGAGGAGCGCCCGCGGTTTGCTGCAGGGGGGAAGGGGCTGTACCGTCGTGCTCGGTCCAGGAAGTGTGCAGTCAAGACGCTGAATCAAGGACTGTTTCTCGTTCGGAAGGGACTCGATGTTCTGAAGGTCCTTCCATGACTGCTCCTCCAACCCTCCTCGTGCACGCAGGCGCTCTTGGGGGTCACAGGGACTTCGTTCCTTGTTTACCGCTCCTTATTTCAGCAGCCTGACTGTAGGAGACCTTCTCCTCCTGCCCTTTCCGTCCCTCCTCACGCGTGAGGGGCGAGGCTTTTCCTATCCTCTCGCGGCGATAGCCGTTACGATTCGTGTCACGCCGTCTGGGAATTGGATGCCTCAGACGGCGCTGGCGTGAGCCGTGAAATAAGCGGAGGCCAGGGGGAGGGGGGGGGGCGCCGCGCCATGGTCAGGGGCGTTCCCCCGAATAGTTCAAAAACGAGCTCATGCAGGACCGGGGGAGCTGGGGGCAGGGTGGGGTGGAGAGGAGGATGAATTGGCGAAAAGGCGGAGGGTAGAGGGCGTGAAGAGAATGAGAGGGGAGGGCTGGATAGCCGGTTGTAACGAGGGCCGCCTCGAGCTCCCCCTTTGCACAGTCGTCCAGGCTGCCTTGGGGGTCCGCCCGACACCAAGCGGAGGTGCCTACGGGGGTGGGGGGCTCGCAAAGGCATTTATTCGAGCGGCATTTCTTTCAGCGCTATCTCGTTCTTCCGTTGTTGCGAGACCAGGATGTGTGCATGCACAGCTGGCGCAGGAAACTCTACTCGTCGGTCGTTGAAGTGTGCATGCTGGGAACACCAGATCATGATTTGCTTTGAGCGCCTTTCTTTACCATTCCTTTACCCTTCCTTTACCCTTCCTATTTCGGGGACGTGTCGAAAGCCAACCTGCTTGGATTGCTTTCCTAGTGCATGCTTCTACCTGCTTCTTCCAACCGACGTGTGTGTACCTCTCGGTGACTTACATGGTAAGTAAGGCGAATGTGAGAATTGATATGAGGGGCGTACACACGCGATCTTGGCCTAGCGAGGATGGCAACAGCATAATACCTGCATGCTCTTTTCTTGAGGCGAACAGGGGTTTGGATGAGATAGATCGGTAGCAGAAACGGTTCAAGCTCGTTCCCGGAGGGGAACAAGGGGTTGGACGAGATGGTGCCCTCAGCCACCTTTGTCCGATGCCTGGTGGGATTCTCGCGACCCACGTTTTGGATCAATGCCCATGCTTGAAGACGCGTGGGCGACCGTAGATGTGTCTTTGCCCGAGAGATGCCCAGGATGTCTCGTGTGCCAGGAGGCCTAGTGGCCTTGAGGCCCCCGAGAAGATGTGGGTGGGGTGGCGGATGTCGCGAACAGCAGGAGAAGTACAAGAAGATTTTGGAGAAGAAGCTCAGCATTCCGATCGAGGCAGGTTTCCGCCCTTCTTGGGGGTTTGCGAGCTGAGCGCCGACAGTGGTCCAAGTCAGGCCCCTCCCTGGCCCATGGGAGGGGCTTCGCCAGGATTGGTGCGGTGTTTTTTCGCCACCTCGTCCTAGTCTTCGCCCCCTCTTCACATGCTCTCTCTCTCTCTCTCCCCTTTTTGTTTGTTTGTTTCTCTTTCTCTTTCTCTTTCTCTCTCTCTCTCTTTATCTCCCTCTCTTTTTGGCAGGCGAGCAAGGGTATCGCAGACCTCTTGACAGTCCCAGCGTCGCACCCCTCCCCGTGGATTTTTGGGGTCCCCTCGCTCCATTGTCTTGCCTCCCTTGTTTCTGTCGGGGGGGCAGGTGGCGCGGATGGTACTTTCGCGCCACCCTGCCCTGGTCCAGTGAGGCGGAAATGGCACCCGCCGTATCCGACGTCGAGAGAGCGAGCCTCCCCCTCCTACTGAGCCACGACTGCTGTTGCTGCTCCTGCTTCTCCCTTTGCTCCCTCCTTGATCCGTCCTTCTTTTCTCTGCAACCTACCTCTCTCCTGCCTCCTCACCTTCTCACTCTTTCGTTTTCCTTCTCCTCACTTCTCTACCCCCCTTCCTCTCCTACCTCCTCTTTGTTCCCTCTCAGTCCCCTTCCTTCTCACTTACAGGACATACATCAGGGCGACTGTCAATGGCTCAGAACATATTCCACATTGGACCGTTGTCGTATCCCGACTTCAAACGAATGTATGTCCTGACGACTTCTTGTTTTCGGGGCCAGGCCAAGCCTCAACCTACTTTAATTGCCTTCGTCTTCACGCGTGTACCTATGTATTGATACCTGCCTGCAATATTTGTCCAACAATTGCCACTGTCATCGCATGCACTCGTTATGGTATCTAATTTCGAACGCCTGGACGGCGAATGGTTACGGTGTACGCACTTGTGGATTTGGCCTAGCGTGCGCTTTACGGCATCCATATCACATCGTGCATGTGCATGTGGGTAAGAGAGCGTGTGTGTGTGCGTACGTATCTACATCCATGCATACATGCATACATACGTTCATATACGCATGTATACATGCATGCATACATACAACTACATACATACAACATCATACCTACCTACCGACCCAGCCACCGACACATGTATATATACACATACATTGCACACATACACATACATTGCAGACATGAATGCATACATGCATGCATGTATCCATCCATGGTTCCTTCCATCCATCCGTACATACACATACATACACATACATACTCATATACATGCATACATGCATACACACATACATACATATCTACTTACGTACTAGCATACATACATACGTTCACACACGTATGCACGCACACATTTATACATACATCCGTCCAGTCAAACATACATACATGCGTGCATGCATCCATCCATGCACATATCCGTACACATATACACGTATACGTACACACATACACACACATGCGTGCGTGCGTGCATGCATGCATGCATACATATGTACTTGCATACATACATACACAAACATACATACATGCGCATGCACATACATACGTGCGTACCTACACGCGTACGCATATGCAACCCTACACACATACATACATACCTACATACCTACATACCTACATACCTACATACCTACATACCTACATACATACATACATACATACATACATACATACAACCATATATATATATATATATATATATATATACATATACATATGCATGCATGCATGCGTACACACATACACACATGCATGCAAATATACATACATCATACACCCAATGCATGCATACATACAAACATATCCAAACATGCTTCTCTCGGCGTGTATATGTGTATGTAAGTATGTATATTTATATGTATATCTATATGTATATACATATGTTTATACTTATACGTAGAAGTAATGGCCGCGGTCCACCCGCTACAGTACCTGGGGAGTGAGTCATAGGCCTCTAGGATGTTTGTCGGGACGTCGTGGGAGGGCTCTCGGGAGCCTTTTGGGACCTCCTGGGTCCTCCTGGGGGCAGCTTGGGGCCTCCTGGGGGTATCTTGGGGCGGAAGGCTAGGATTTTCGACTCGTGTTCCCCCTCTTGGACCTCTTTTGGGCCGTCTTGGGGCCCTCTTGGCCGTCTTGGGCGCCTCTTGGTCCATCTAGGGGCCCTCTTTGGCCGTCTTGGGGCCCTCTTCGAGGCCTCGGGAGCTGTCTTGGGGCCGTCTCGGGGGGCCTCTTGGGACGCCTCGGATCGTCGGAAGCTCGAAACGTGGAGAACACAAAACACATTGAACAATCCAAGACAAATCGATGATTTAGGCTTCTCGGTGCCCTCCTGGGAAGGCCCTCGGAGGCCTCTTGGGACGTCTTGGGCGCTTTTCGGCCGACTTGGGCTGATTGTTCGGCGATTCGAGGTCCTTTTGGACCGGCTTAGAGGCTTCTTGGGACCCTCTTGTGCCGTTTTGGTGCTTTTTTGGGCCCGAAAAGTCATGCAGAAAGAAAGCGACGCGGCCCAAGGGGCATGCTGGGAGCCCTAAGAGATTCAGCAATTTGGGGTCTGGGCCATTGAAAGCGTCCTCGGGATCGACGGCAAGGAAATCGGCCACGGACCTGCGACATTCCCACTTCTGCCTCAAGGGCACAGTGGCGGATATACATACACTCACATGTATATCTATACATCGACAGGCTCACACACACACACATATATATATATATGCATTTGTGTGTACATATATATATATGCATAATCATACACATATGCATGCATGTACGTATATGTACACACATATGTTCTATTTTGTGTTAGCCAGCGCTGACCCCAAACAGTGTATGTTTGTGCGTGTGCGTGTGTGTGTGTGTGTGTTCAGGAAGTCTATGATGCGCAATTTATGTGGTGCAGTCTATGTGGTGCAATTCACTTGTGGAACTCGCAGTTGTCAACTCTACTGCTCGCGCAATCATCCCACCCACCCACCCGCAACTTGTTTTGCAAAACGTATGCGGCGACAGTTGCGATGAGTGAGTGCTTGGTGTTGGCTGGTGCATCCCTGCGGCCGCGCTAGCCCGCGCATGCTCGCGCGCGCAGCGGCCAGCTAGTTTGGCGCGACTGCCGCGGCCGCGGTGGCGCTGACCTCTGGGTAATGTCCAGCGGGCACTTCAGTGCGAGTCAGCGACTTGGGCGGGCACGGTATCATGGCAACGTCGACAACGGTAAACACGACGATGATAGTAGAGACGCTGGTGGCGCTGATGACAACGGCGACGGCACGGCCAGTGACGGCGCCGATGTTGAGGACGCTGGCGACAATGACGGCGCCCCCGCGTCGGCGAGGAAGGTTTCGGAGGGAGGTCGACATGCGCGCGCGGCCGACGACGGAGAGTAGCCCGCGTGGTACTATTTGCTTCGGATCGTGCCCCTCCGCGCGCGCGCAAGGGCGTTCGAATGATGTCGACACGCGGCGCGAAAGGCCCGTGTGGCCGAATTCAATGAAACTGGCGAAACACCGAGATTTCCTAGAGATGTCGCATTTGAAGGGACGACGCGCGCGGGTGCACTTCGTGGCATCTGTTGCAAGGGGTTCTTGCGACAGCACGCGCGTAAGGGCGTACGAACGATTGCGACGTGCGCGCGCGAGAGGCCCATTCGATGGTAAATTATTTAAAAAATTGGAATTTGCTCGCAAGAGCGCGAGCGCAAACTTTGTTTGAACGTTCTTGTTGCCAAACCTTTTATTGAATTAGAAAACCACAACGTCTATGTTCGGGACACTCGATTTTGAAATCCTTGCGAAACCTTTGTTTGAAGGGGTTCGGTATGCGCGCGCGACGACGCGCGCGTGTGCACTTCGTCCCGTGTTTTGCAGGGCGTTCTTGGCAACCGGTGAATTTTGAGAAACGACTGCCCCCGCACATTTTTTTGGCAGAGGATGAGGGTGGGTGGGGGCCGTTACCGGTTTGGCTGGAATGTTCGGATTCATGTTTCGGATGGACGATGGGGCAGAATGGTATGAAATTTGCAATGCGAAAAAGTGAGCGGTTGAATCCGGGGGGGGGGGTCGATCCTAATATTTCTTGAGGGACGGAATTGATGTCTGTTCGCAGTGAGTTGTCCAGTCCACTGCTCGCGCAATCAATTCACCCACCCGCAACTTGGTTTGTACAACCCATGCGGCGGCGATGGGGATGAGTGCTTGGAGTCGGCTGGTGCGTGTCTGCGGCCGCGGTAGCCCGTGCATGCTCGTGCGCGCAGTGGCCAGCTAGTTTGGCGCGGCCGAGGCGGCCGCGGTGGCGCTGACCTCTGGGCACTTCCCATCGGGCCCTTCATTGCGAGTCGGCGACATGGGCGGGCGCAGTATCATGGCAACGTCGACAACGGTAGACGCGATGACGATGGTAGCGATGCTGGTGACGATGGTGGCAACGCTGACGGCAATGCCAGTGACGGCGCCGATGCTTATCGCGCCGACGACGATGACGGCGTCCTCGCGTCGGTGATGAAGCTTTTCGAGGGAGTTCGACATGCGCGCGAGGCCGACGCGCGAGATTGGCTCGCATGGTATTGTTTGACACGTATCGTCCCCCCTCCCCCGTCCCAGTACGCGCGCAGTACGCGCGCAAGGGCATTCGAATGATTCCGACGTGCGGCGCGACGGGCCCGTTCGGCCGAATTAACTGAACATCCGGAAAACAAAACCCGAGGGTTACCCAAAACAGATGCAGGAGCGCGAGTGCAGGCATTGTTGAATACTCATGTTGCAAATCATTTTTTCTAACAAAGGGTTTTCGGTCCACTCGACTTTGAATTCCTACGAACATTCGAGTTTTGGGAGCATTTTTGCATGCGCGCGAGACGACGTGCGTGTGTGCATGCCGTCTTCTTTTTTGCAAGGGGTTCTTGCGACAGCGTGCGCGCGAAGGCGCTCGGACGATTCAGCGTGAGATTTTTGAAACATGTCGGCATGCGCGCGCGACGACGCGACTTTGTGTACTTTGTACAGTTGTTTGGCAACGTGTTTTTTTGGAAGCCGATGATTTTTGATAAGCGGGTGTGCGCGCATACGGCGGGACTGGCTTTCCTTGGGATGGTGTGAATCTATCTTTCGGATAGACGGTGGGGCAGAACCGTGTAAATTGCAATATGACAAAGAGGTTCCGTCAATTCTTCGGGTGTGGTGGTGGTGGGGGCGATCTGATTTCTCTTGTTGAAGTGAGAACCTTTGAGGTACAGTCTGTGTTGTGCAGTCGGTGCTGTGCTGTTTGTTGCCCAGGGATAGCAGTGCAAAACATGATTAAGCAATGCAGAGTAAAGCAATGTAAAGCAATGCGCTGCAATACACAACAAACCGAGCGAATACAAAGCAATGCGACGCAATGCGAAATATCGCAACGCAGCGCAACACACTGCAAATCAACGCGAACCACTGCAAACCAACGCAAAGCAATGCCATGCAAAGCGACGCAACGCAGCACGAAGCAGGGAAGGCAACACAAAGGAAATCAATGCGAAACAATCCACAACAAAACATACACCTTTAGACAAAGCAATGCAACTCAATGCCAAGCAATGCGAAGCAATGCAGAGCAACGCAAACCAATGCACAGCAATAGCGAGCAACGCAAAGTAATACTTGTTGTGCAATCTAACAGCGGCGACGAGCGGCGACAGCGGCGACGAGGCGGCGACGGCGACAACATAGCCGCCAGACTGCCGCACAGGCCCAGATCCTTAGAAGGCAAGTAAGACATTTAAGTGCAAGCGCTGTTTGAGGAACGTGCCCCTGTGTGCCAATTCGAAAGTGTACCCTTTTTTTCTGTCCGACGCTTGTGGCCATTTGGACTCAGGCGTTCGGCCGATTTTGCGTAACCCCCTCTTAACCACCCTATGTCATCAATTTCCTGTGATTGGCCAGGGCCCTGCGTGCAGGGTCCCCACATCTGCCACCAATTACAGAGGCGTCAACGTCATCTCTGGTCTATCTTTTACCGTCATCGCGCCGCCATGAGAGCCATTCGGATATATACACATGCACATACACATATGTGTGCGTGTGTGCGTATCCCATCTACGAGGCTGGGGGCCCCAGAGGTGCCCAAAACCGGCCCAGAGAGCTCCGACTTGCCCCCGAGCCGCTGGAAAATCATTCCCAGACGCCTGTGATCGCCTCCAGATGGCCCACATTGCTCCCTTGTCGCTCCACGTAGTTTTCCAGACGGCCCGAAACGTTCCCTCCAAGAGGATTCCCAGACGCCCCTCAAGATGGCCCCAAGAGTGTGGGTCGCCCTACAACAGCTCCAGAGACACCGAAGCTCGCCTCAACACGGTGTCAGAGGCCTCGCGAGGCCGGCAGATTGCCCAAGAGGCCCCACAGACGCCCCCAGATTTCTCCAGGACAGCCCACACAGGCCGCGAATCGCTAAACAAGTCATTCCCAGATGCTCACCACGCCTTCCAAGTGGACCACAACGATTCCAAGGCGCACCACGAAAGCTTCCACCCACAAAGTACCCAAAACGTTCCCAGAGGGTCCCAAGGCGCCTCCGATGAGGGCACCAAGAACCACACATCGTTTATTTGTCATCGGATTTTGCTTTTTTTCGTGCTTCCGCCTTTTCGCCTTGCCGACGCTCCAAGATAGCCCTACAAGCACAAAAGCTCGCTTCAAGACCTAATAAGAGGCCCCCACGAGGGCGCCGAGACCGGGCACGACGCACCAAAGACTGCCCGCGCTGGTCCCCAAGCAGAAGGGATCTCCGAGCGGCATGCTGGCGTGCCTCTGGGATCGTCTCGAACCCCCACCTTCCAGTGGGCGCCTCCACGGCAAGGGCCCCCTTCCTGCCCGCGGACCCCATCCTTCCGCTGCGGGCGGGAGTGGCGCGCTCCAAAACGCGGGAGGGTCGTATGGAGGATGGGCAGTTCTTCGAGATCGTCGCCGATTGCTTCGGGTCGTGTCCCGGGCGGGGCTCGGCGGCGGCCCCCGAGCAGAGAGGTACTCTAAGCGGCATCTTTTGTCCGCCCTTGTGCACGTGGGCAGTGCGGCACGGGCGGAGGCGGTGGTGCAGAGCATGCCTCCGGGGCATCCAATCCCCGGGAGCGAACGCAGCCCGCGTCGGGGTCGGCTCGCCGTGACCGGGTCGCAGCGTGCGTTGGTGGGCCGAGTCCCATTGCCGTGGAGCGAGGTGAGGTCGGCGGGCCCCGGCGGGGCCCGAGATCCGCCTCGTCGCCTCCGGTGCTCGTGTCTCGCTCCCATCGCAGAGGGGGGGCATTCAGTGCCTGGGAGTGGCAGGAGCCCTGCGCACGGGGCCCCACGTTACTGCCGCCCGTAAGGGGTGCATCACCGCCATCTCGTGCACTTCTTGTACCCGCCATCGCACCGCTATCAGGGCCCATCGAAGGTACGCCCATGCGTGCCAACACGTAAATGTATCTTTCTCCGTTGCCCGACGTCGGTTGCCATTTGGGCTCGGGCGCGCGGCCGATTTGAACTATCCGCCCACCACCCTTGGGCATCAACTCCCTAGGGGTGGCATGAGCCTTGCGCATCGGGCCCCGCGGTACCGCCACCCGTACAAGGCATCACCGCCATCGCGTGAATTTCTCTTACCGCCGTCGCACCGCTACTAGGGCCCATCGATGATACAGTCTCGATGTTATGTCTTTTTCCATTCGAGCCTGCGGCCGAGCTGCTTTTGATCCGTTGTGCCGTAACAGTTGTAAGCCAGTGGGACGGATCATACCAGTTAACCAGATCATCAATCCACCAGCAGCGAGCCACGTTTATCGCCAGCTCGTGTGAAGCTTATCACCAGCTCGCTGCTTTCGCCCACGCTCGTGTGGCGGCTCGTTTCCTGGTGGCCTCCCGCCCCTGCGGCTTTCCTCCTGCTCCCCCCCCTGTCTCCCCCACGCACCAAAAAATCAGCAGCGACAAAGTTGTTGCGCGGCACGGGGTGAGCGTCTGGACCCGCGGGAGACGCCGAAGATGTTTCTTCAATGTCGCCCGCGGGCCCGTCCATCGGCCGAGCCCTGCCTCTGGGCTGGGCTCCCCCTCGAGGGCGGCCGACGGCTGTGTGTCTCCGTATCCTCTTTGCCGTCCTCCTGCGCGTCTTCCCCCGCTGGTCCATCTCTCTGAGTCATGACCGTCCTCCACTTGGGCCCTGGTCCGGTCTCCTTCTATTCGTTCGTTCTTCTTCTTCTTCCTCTTCTTCCTCTTCCTCATTCCCCCGCGGTCTCCCTTCCCCTCTCCCTTCTCCGTAGTGTCGCCCGTCCTTTGCTCGTCCTCCGCCTCGCTTCCGCGGTCATTCCTTCTCTTTCGAGTCTTCCGTTTCACCGGCCGCCTCCCCTTGTCCCCTCCCATGTCTTTTCGTGCATTTTCGCCCCCCTCTTTTATTATCGTTGGTGTTTTCCTATCCTCTACGCATGCCCCCTTTTCCTTCTATCTGACTCCTCTTCACCTCCCTCCTCCTGGTCTACCCGTCCTCCTTTCCCCTTGATCCCTTTTTGTTTGCTCGTCTCTCTCTCTCTCTCTTTTTTTGTTTTTTGTTTTTTTTTGTTTTCTCTCTCTCTCTCTCTCTCCCTCTGACGCATTTTCCTCTTCCTATCTATAGCCCATCTTGTTGTCTTAGCTCACGCCCTTCTCCATTATTCCCGCCAAGCAACGCTTGATTGCACGTGAGCTCAATATTTCGCTTGCGTCAATGTGCGTGGCGCGTGAGTAGCCAATTCCACACATCAGGGTATTTCATCGATTAGGGTGAGGATGTAGAGCCACAGTTGGTTGCGATTGTGCTAGAAGCTTGCATGCAAGATCGTTGTATATTTCTGTGCCCCTCTTTTCGCTGTCAATTTGGCGCGCATGTGGTCTGACAAATCGCTATCTTATGAGGCCCTCGGGAAAGCGTTCCCGACAGAGTTTACGACCTACCTCAACTATTCCCAGAACCTCGGATTTGAGGCCTTCTGCGACCCTTCGCTTCTCTTTGCTGCCACTCTGCGCACTTTGAAAGGGGGGACACCAAACCCGAGACAGCGAAAACCATGTGAGTGAGGATGCGATCGGGGGTCAGTCGTAGGCATGGGTATCCGACTGCCTTGGCCGGAAGCCCGCGTCCGCCGCCGTGGTCTTCGAAACCCTCGATCATACGTCCCCGGCGTTCCTGCTTTCTGCGCGTACAAACGTGCCGAGGAAACTTTCTGTACCGATCACTTTGACCAAGTTATTCTTACCGAGACCCTGCCTTCTGCGCGCCGTCGGTCGGACCCTGATGACGCGATCGTCGGTGATTCATTTCACATCGCTAGGCTGACTGTGGAGATGACTTCGGCGGCTAAACTTCTCCCTGTCTCCTCCACGCAGCATCTGACCACAGTACTCCAGGATCTGGTTTCTGGAGGGGGGCTGTTTTGGTGTTTTTGGCTTCGTGCGGCAAGATAATGGTGGCTGCTGTTCCCATGTCGGCGGCTCGAAAGAAAACGAGGGCGATGATGGTGATGATCGCTATGGCGAGGACATTATAGGATAATCATGATGATACGCAAGACCTGGAAGAAGGAGGATGTAGAGGAGGATCATGAGGAAGAGGAGGAGGATCACGGTCGTGCAGTATAAGCATGGCTGTGAGCATGATAGTGCTAATAATGACCAGTGTTGATGTGCAGCCATGAGGACAATGAGGACAATGATGAGGAATTCGAATGGGAAAGATGACGATGAGTCTCACAAGACGTGCTGTATGACCCCGTCGTGTTCCACTCCTTCCCGACGCTTCCGCATCATTATACATGTCTTTTCTTTTGATCGAGATGTTAGCCAGCGTGGGCCCCAAACAGTGTGTGTGTGTGTTCTAGCAATGTGTGTTGTGCAACCTATGTGGAACAGTTCATGTTGTGCATTCTGTGTGGACCAGTATGTGTGGTGCAATATAGGCGGTGCAAGCTGTCTGGTGCAATCCATATGGTACAATTGATTTTTACCCATGAGTTGACACATCCCATGTTTTTGCAAACGTCCCATTTACCCACCCGCAACTTGGTTAGCAAAACCCATGCAGTGGCGATTGCGATGCATGCTTGGCGTTGGCTGGTGCATCTCTGCGGCCGCGCCAGCCCTAGCACGCGCGCGCAGCGGCCAGCAAGTTTGGCGCCACCGGCGCGGCCGCGGTGGCGCTGACCGCTGGGCGCATCCCAGCGGGGACTTCTCTGCGAATCGGCGACTTGGGCGGGCGCGGTATCATGGCAACGCCGGCTACGGTAGACGCGATGATGCTAGCGGCGATGTTGGTGACGATGTTCGCACCGACGATGGCGCGGCCAGCGCGGGCGCCGATGCTGATCACGCCGACGGCGATGACGGCGTCTTCCCGTCGGTGTGATGAAGGTTTTGGAAAGTGTTCGACATGCGCACGTGGCCGACGCGCGAGAGTGGCCCGCATGGTTTGACTTGACACGGATCGCCCCCCCCCCCCCCCAGCACGCGCGCAACGGCGTGCGAATCGTGCTGGCATGCGGCGGCGCCAGAGGCCCGTTTGGTAGAATTTCATGAAAATGTTGAACAAACACATAGTTTCCGGAATAATTTGCAAGAGCGCGCGTGCAAGTGTTCTTTTTGTTCTTTTCATGTTTTTTTTTTTTTTTTTTTTTTTTTTTTTTTTTTTTTTTTTTTTTTTTTTTTTTTTTTTTTTTTTTTTTCTTCTTCTTCTTCTTTATATATATATATACTCGATTTTGAAATCCCTCCGAAACGGAATGCTTTCAAACGGTTTCGGCATGCGCGCGCGACGACGCGCGCGTGTACATGTTTTTGGCAAATGATTCTCGCGACGGCACGCGCGCACAAGCAGTTCGAACGAGTTCGAGATGCCCGCGCGCGAAAGCTGTTTGGTAGTATTTTATGAACATGTTAAGATCTTATGGTTTTCATGGGAATTCGCCAGGGCGCGCGCGTGTTGCGAAACCGTGTGTTTGTGTATGGATTTTTGACACTCGATTTTGTTTTTTTTTCCACGAGCGGTGGTTGTTGAAGGATGTCGGCATGCGCGCGCGACGACGCGCGTGCGTGCACTTCGTCATTTTTTTGCACGGGGTTCTTGGCAACATATTGTTTTTGATAAGCGAGTGTGCGCGCACAGTTTTTTTGCGAAGGATGGGGGGGGGTCGATGCCGGCTGGGCTGCGATGGTACGAGTTCATATTTCGGATGGGCGATAGGGCAGAATCAAATGTACATTGCAACCGGAAGATGTGGATCGACAACGCCGGGGGTGCTGGTGGTGGATTTTTTAAGTTGTTAATGCAATAAAAATTGTTGAATCAACGCAGTGCAACCTATGTGGTGCAGTCCACTCTGCTGAACTTGAAGTCGCCATCTCCACTGCTCGCGCGAACATGCCACCTTCCCGCCCGCAACTTGTTTGGCAATGCTCATGATGCGGGGGGCGGCGGCGCCGCCGATGACGTCCTCACTGCCGATGCTCGTCGCCGTGAGTCGATGATGAAGGTGGGCACGTCGACGATACTTGGACGTGCGCGATGACAAGATGACGTCAGCAACGTCTACGACAATGACGAATATGGCACCCGCGACGACCGATGTTCAAGAGGGCGACGGCACGAACGATAACGGTGCCAACGATGGTAAACACGTTGACGATGCTGACGTCCATCTGTCGATGAGGTAGGTGATCGCGGCGATGCTGGCAAGGCTGAAAAGGGAATCCGCGCGCGCGGGAGTTCATCGAATCCGTCGGACTGATCGTGTGCGCGCGGCGGTGCGCGCATGTGGCCCGCGTGTTTGTGTGTGTGTGTGTGTGTTTCTCTCTTTCTGTCTTTTCCCTCTTTCTTTGTTTTCCTGTTCTGCAGGGGATTCGCGCCCTCGGCGCATGACGATAGTGTCGCGGGTGCGCCGCGCGGCGACATGATATCGCTGGATTTGGCAGAGTTCATGCGCGTCCAATGGTTTCTGCGTGATTTTAGCATGATCGCGCGGACAGGACATTTGCAACATTTGTGTTGCAGCGCCCTTGGGTTTTAGGTTTCCATGCTGAAGCGCTTGCAAACTCATTGTGTTTGGTGCGACTTTGACACTGTCATATATATATATATATATATATATATATATATATATATATATATATGTGGGGGGGGGGGGGGGGGGGGGGGGCTGCAGGGGGTCCTTGAAATGTGCTTTCTCAAGAAGTAGCATTCGCGCATCGTATTTTTTGCAGAGGGTGGAGGGGGGGGGGGGGTCGATGCCGTTTTGGCTGGGATGGAACTCGCGCAGGATGCGCGAGTGTGCAGAATGCGTATGCAATCTTAATATCCTCGGGGGGGGGGGGGGGCATTCCCGGGGGGCGGGGGGGGGGCATTCTTCTCTTCGAAGCGGGGAGTATATGTTTTGCTATCTACCCTGCGCCTCGCCAGACCACCTCCACTGCTCGCGCTAACATCCCGCCCGCCGCCCGCATCTTGGTTCGCCGAACTCATGCGGCGGCGATTGCGATGCGTGCTTGGCGTTGGCTGGTGCATCCACGCGACCGCGCCAGCCCTTGTGCTCGCGGCGGCCAGCTAATTTGGCGCCGCCGACGCGGCCGCGGTGGCGCTGACCGCTGGGCGCGCCCCAGCGGGCACTTCGCTGCGAGTCGGCGACTCGGGCGGGCGCGGTATCATGGCGACGCCGACCGCGGTATGCGCGGCGATGATAGCGGCGATGCTGGTGGCGATGTTCGCGCCGACGAAGGCGCGGCCAGCGCGAGCGCCGATGCTGATCGCGCCGACGGCGATGACGGTGTCCTCGCGTCGGTGGTGGGGTTTTGGAAAGAGGCGACTCGCGCGCGCGAGCGCGGCCGACGAGCGAGAGTGGCCAGCGTGTTTCTATTTGACGCGGATCGTGCCCCCCCCCAAAGAAAAAAGCACGCGCGCAAGGGCGCGCGAGTGATCTCGGCGCGCGGTTCCAGAGGCCCGTTTGGCAGAATTCTATGGAGATGTTGACAATTCAGATGTTTTTTGTTTGTTTGCGAGAATTCGCCAGGGCGCGCGCGCAAGCCTTTCTTGAAAGTGTATGTTGCGAGACCTTGTGTGTGTTCGGATTGTTTTGGGCATCTGGTTTTGAGATCGTTGCGAATCCAGCGGTTTTCCGAGGATTTCGGCACGCGCGCGCCGACGCGCGCGCGTGCTCTTCGCCTGGATTTTTTGCGCGTGATTCTTGGGGCGGCGCGCGCGCAGAAAGGGGCTCGAACGATGTCGACATGCGCGCGCGCGAAGCCCGTTTGGTCGCATTTGATCGAACTTTTGGCACAAGTGTGGTTTCCCAAGCATTCGCAGGACCGCGCGCGCGTTTTCTTTTTGTTTGGTTTGGGTGGAACTCAGTGCTGCGAAACCATGTGTTCTCGTGTGATCCTTTGACGCTCGATATATGACATCCTTCCGACACCGAAGGTTTTTGAAATATTCCGGCATGCGCGCGCGACGACGCGCGTGCGTGCATTTCGTCGCATTTTATTGCAAGGCATTCTTGGAAACTGCTGATTCTTGAAGAGCGAATGTGCGCGCATAGTTTAGTTTGCAGAGGGTGGCGGGGGGGTTGGGGTCGATGCCGGCTCGGCTGGGATGGTGCGAGTTCATATGTAAGTTGGACGATGGGGCAGGCTCATTTTTTTTTGGGGGGGGGAAAGATAATAGATGTGGTGCAGCTAGCTTGCCGAGCTTGAAGTTGCCCACTCCACTGCTCGCGCAATCATCCCGCCCGCCCACCCGCAACTTGGCTTGCGGGAGCGAACGCGATGAGTGCTGGGTGTTGTCTGGTGCATCTGCGGCCGCGCTAGCCCGCGCGTGCTCCCGCGCTCGTCGGCAAGGTAGTTTGGCGCCGCCGACGCGGCCGCGCTGGCGCTGATCGCTCGGCGCATCTCAGCGGGCATTTCAGTGCGAGTCGACGACTTAGTCGGGCGTGGTATCATGGCAA